ATCTTAAATTTTAAGTAGCTAAAACTAGGGGGATTTCTGGGCCTTGGGGATTTATTTTGAAATAGAAAAATGTAAAGAGAGAGAGAAAGTGAGTGGAGAGAGTGGGTGGGGTAGGGGGGGTGGAGAGAGAAGCAAATGTGTTCTGTTTTCGCATTCCCTTTCCCATGATGGGATGTGCAGTGACACTCCAGCCGTGTTTCCTGGCCCACATGCCAAGCTGCACAGTCTATTCAGACAGAGTCTTGACGTGGAAGATTCGCTTTGTGGTTTCTCGGTGTGTGGTCGGGCAGGCTGACAGAGTCAATCACTGTGACTGTATTACCCTGTCACCACACAAGGTTGTATCTAGCTTCCCGGCACTGCTTTCCAGATGGCATTAATCTACATTTACCTGTTTTCGCTTTTGCATCTCGCATTTTTTTTTGCTGAAACAATGGTTTTCACACTGAGGAAACATTTTGCAAATTCAGTGGAAATGCAAAAAATAATTAATTATTTACTCGAGTAAAATGAAAAAATAACTTGCCAGGATTTAATGGGGAGACTTTTTTTTGTAAAGTTGCACAACTCAAGAGACTTAGAGACGTCTCCAAAACTGTCTGTTGAAAGAAACAAAGGAAACCTGTGAGTTTAGCTGCTATTAGCAAGTCTATTCTTAACCAGCTTCCGATTGAAGAGTAAAAGTTTTCCCAAGTCCATGTTTTTCTCACAAAATATACAGTCATTTCACTTTAGAATATATTCTGTGAAGCGCATTGAGACATCTCGATGACTTGATAAGGCACTATATTAAATGCAAGGATTATTATTAAATTTTAAGAGAATAGTTTGTTAATGTGGCCCAGGGAACAACAAGGCAAGCACGACCATCTTAATGGATAGAACCATAGAACATTACGTTTCGTTGCCAATACATGCAGCTGCTCACTATTATCTATCTGTCCATTCTTACTCTCTTATCAAAAGTCCCCAATGATTGAAAACAGTGACAGTTTTTAAAGAAAATAAGTGAAGAGATTTGACATAGAAAAAACAAAGGATTGGATCACAATCGACCACAGCATTGACGCACCGATAGTGCGTTTCCCTTTGGCTTAACCTTTCAAAGTTTGTTTCAAACCTTTGTGGAGTCCTATAGCTCAGTGGTTAGAGCACTCGCTTTGCAAGTGAGAGACCTGAGTTCAATTCCAGGCAGAGGGCGAAACCTTGGGCAAGTTTCCTTACTCCACACGCCTAATAATAATCCCTCCAAAACCAAAAACAATAATAAATTGGTCATTTTAAATCTACGACTGTTTGTGGGACATTGCTGTGCGCAATTGGCTGCCGCGTTCACCCACAAATATACAGTCAATTCACTTTACAGTGTGTTCTGTGAAGCGCTTTGGGACGTCCTCCCGACGTGAAAAGCGCTATATCAAATGCAAGGATTATTATTATTATTAAAGCACTTTACAGGGTAATGTGCAATCACCAAGCAAGGTAGAATGGGAACTTGTGTGGCAATAACACCAATAGGGCAAAATCAACCTGGCTGACAGTGGTTGAAACCCAGCTCACGCTCCTTATTAGCGGGTGAACAATTCAACACTCAGTGAAATCTGCTTTACAGCGATAGGACGAACCGACATGCAAGGATGTGGAAAGTAGTTGAGGATGTTGAATGACGGCACAATCACAAGGTGTAAGAATGTTTTAAAGACAAGGAGGTCAGGATAAAGGGGATTTGGAAGAAAGTTCCAGAGAGCTGGGGCAAATCCTTACACTTGACATACACAGTCAATTCATTTTACAGTATATTCTCTGAAGGGTGTGGATTGAAGACTTGATAAGGTGCTATATCAAATGCAAGGATATCAAAATGTAAGGATATAGCATCTTATCACGTCATCAAGAGGGTGAGAGCAGCAGAATGGGGCTGGAGGAGATTCGGTCGTGCCGACTGCCACAGTTTAAAATTGACTCTCATACACACACGCTGGCATCACAGTATATGTTCTTTGCTCATTTCAATCAATCATAGCCTCTCGCATCCAGTAATTAAGTGTGAAATTTAGCAGCTTTTATCCGTGTAAACACCCGACTACACAACGCAGAATGACAACACAATCCGTCTTATTTCAGCAGTTTTTTCCTTCCACTCCGTGCTCGCTACTAATAAATGCCACAGCCCAGGGACATGTCAATTAACTGCGCTGGGTGAAACATTGATAACTTAACTGCGGTTAATTATCACCTCACAGTCTGCACCCCATGACGCATTTACCCACTGGTGATTGGAATACATAGAGACTGAATACTGGCAGCGATTTACAGATGGGGCTGCTGTTTAGTTGCAATTGGCTGATATTCCAGTGCACTACTGGGGGGGCACTATATTGTCGGAGGTGCCTTTTCAGTGGATAATAAAGAACCCATGGTACCACTAGAATTTGTTGGCTTTGTGTGTGCAAATTGTCTGCCACGTTTGCCTACAAATTCACAGTCACTACCCTTCATGGTAAAAACCTGTGAAGCTCTTTTAGATGTCTGGACGGTGTGATAAGACGCTATATCAAGTGTAAGGATTTATACAATTATAGTATAATTGTAACCTAAATCGCCCTCAAATATCTATCACACACTAACCACTAAAGAGGGACCTTTGCATTGGAATGGGATTTAATAATAATCCTTGCAGTTGATACAATGCCTATGACATTGCTACGTCTCAAAACACACGAAAGGCAAATTGCTGTCAGGTGTATCTGTAAACAAAACCGGCAGCTGATTTCTGCACATCAAGATCCCAGAAACAGCCCCAAAGTGAATGATCAATTTTATCTGGGGGATTGTTATCCAGTACATTGGGAGAAACTCACTTCTCCCATCAGAAATGTGCCATTCACCTTTAATGCGTTCGTGCACAAATACAGAGTTACTCCACTTCACAGTAATTCCTGTGAAGTGCTTTGGGACATCCTCCTGATGTGAAGGTGTTATACTAAATAAATTATCCACTGGCGGGTGGGTCGGTAACCTGAGGACACTGATTTAAAATAGTTGTTAAAAGAAACAGAGGGGAGGTGAGGAGAAATGTTTTCACACAGCGAGTTGTTCCAGTTGCATCTGGAATGCATTGCCTGAAAGGGTGGTGAAAGCCAATTCGATCACAACTTTTAAGAGAGAAGTAGATAATTATTTGGGGAGGACAAGTTTGTCGGGCTAAGGGGAGAGAGCGGGGGAGTGGGATTGAATTGGATAGCTCGTATCAAAGATGCGCCAAATGGCCTCCTTTTGTGCTGTATAATTCTATGATTCTGTGAAATGCAGGAATTATGCATTGCTTACGTGCACCTGAATAGGCAGACGGGACATCACTTCAACATCTCATCCGAAGCACCGCACCTCTGACAATGCAAGGTTTCCCTTTTCTAGTAACTCACTGGGAACTCACTGGGCTATAAGATACTATGTGGGCTCTAAAAATTTCCAACTTGGAGTTGAACCCACGCTCAAGTGCCCTGATCTGGAGGCAAAAACGTATTACAATTGAGCCAAGTGGGGTAGGTGAAGAATATTCCCAACGTCCCGGACATGAGGATTTTCGAGTTGAATTGCATCTCCAAGAAAAAAACAAAGTGCATAGAATTTTATTCTGGAAACTCTCCAGCTAGAGTTTTGAATTGTTGGGAAAGGGTAAAATATCGAGATCCATGAGATGAAAGTTCAGTCTGAAATAATTGCTTGTGATTTGTTTAGTATTAAGCGGATGGAATTGGAAATAATTGCCAGCGCTGACTGTGCAAGGAAGACATGAATATTCAATCTCCGCTCAGTACTGAAGCGCTCAGTAGCAGCCTCGATATGCCCTGAGGGTCTTTTTTTCTCATCACCGGCTCTTACTGAAAGGCCATCACGATGCCTTTTGGTCCGAATCAAGCGAGGGCTTTGATCACTTTGCAACCGAAGACAAGTTGCGTTTCTCTAAACTCCACATTCTTGCACGGGAAGAAACCAACGGGGCACTGACGGCTGGCATTCACTTTACAGCCTGCGACGGGAGCTTTGAATCACTCATTTTGTTAAGACAGTATGCAATGATTTTCCATCTGCTTTTCGGCACCTGCCTGTGTTTGGGCGATGCAGCAAAACCCCAGCGTTAAAGCAAGATTGTTCCAGGAATGAGCATCAGTGCTGGCTGGCTGGTGTCAGCTGGGCTCAGCTGGTCGCCCACCTGCCTCTGGGTCAGAAGGCTATGAGTCAAGCACCTGATGAAGGGAATCGGAGCTCATTTCTGCCTATTCAGATATTGGTTAAAAGTCTCAGGCACTGTTCGAAAACAGAGGGGAGTTTCAACTCGTGTCCTGCTCATCAATTCCCCCAAATAAAATTGGTCACTCACTTCATGGCTGTTTGAGCAAATTGGCCGCCATGTTTATCTACTAATTACAAAGTCACTGCACTTTACATTGAAGCATTTTGGGACAACCTCACAATGTGAAAGGCACTGTATAAAATGCAAGGATTATTGTTATTATTACAGTATAAATTACTCTGGAGGTTTTTTTAAATGGATTTCAGTGATGGGTCAGCCAGTCCAATACACTGCCACATTACATATGAATGGATGTTACTTTTCTTAATATATTTGAGAATCTAAAATAGCTACTTTTTTGCAGGAGGATATTTTGTGCACCAGGTATTTTGTCAAGCCATTTCTCAATAGTGTTATTAACAGTCCCAGTTGCACCGATGATTGTAGGAACTATGTTTTACATTGCCACATACATCCGCAATCAATTTGTATATTGATATATTTCCTGATCTTGATTATAATAACAATTATTATTATTGTTTAGAGTTGCACTCCAGTGCAGTTCTACAGGAGCACTGTATTGATGGAGGTCCTGTCCTTCCGACATGACTTAACAAGTTGCCTGTTCAGATGGGGGGTGTTAAACATTTCCTCTGGCCTGCCACACCTTGTAATCTTCATTCTCCATTATCTCTCCTCCCAGAGCTTTTATGAAGGACAGTCCGCGCCTTGGGAATGTGCCAAGAAGGATGAAAACCGAGTCAAGAACAGATACGGGAATATCATTGCCTGTGAGTAGCCTTCCTCCTGTAGAGAAGGCCCCCATACTCAAGTAAAAGATCAGTTATATTCTTAATACAGTGGAGTCCTGATTAACGTTAGAGCACTCGCCTTGCAAGCAAGAGGACCTGGGTTCGATTCCCAGGTAAGGTTAAAGATTACGTAAGTTTCCTTACTCCACACGCCTCTGTTTATCTACTAGTAAGTAGGAACCCGGTTGTTAGTCGATTGGTGGATCGCTTTTCCGTGGGTAATAATCGCTAACATTTTTTTAAAATATAAACAATAATAATAATTTGGTCACTGAATCCACGACTGTTTGTAGGACATGCTGTGCGCATTTGGCTGTCGCATTTAGCCCCCCAGAAATACAGTCACACTTTGCCGTATATCCTGTGAAGTGCTTTGAGACTTCTCAAAGATGTGATAAGTCGCTATATCAAATGCAAGGATTATTATCCCAGGGGAGAATATTAAAAAAAAGGAAGAATGCAAGAATTATTATTATTATTAACCCTTTGCTTCCCACCCCCATCCTTTTGTGGTACAAAGTGCTCCTGGTAACTGAGCAGAAACATTGCTCCAATGATGGATGTTTGGCATTAGATTGAAGTCTGCTCTCCTCTTCCCTGTTGACAATGTCATTGTCACATTTGCGCAATTGCTGTTCTGAGTGGTTTATCTGTGCACATCGTTGGCTTCCAGCTTCTCATTAACAAGCTTCCCCATCCCGGCCTAGCGAGGGACTGGTCTAACCACTATTTTTACCAGAGCCAGGTTAGCGATGCTCGCAACACAGCCATTTGACATTTCCAAATGTCATCTTAAGAGTGAGTGTCTGTGTGTGTGTGCGTGTGTCGGTGTGTTTATATGTGTATGTATAGGTGTGTGTATGTTTGGGTGCGTGTATGTGTTGGTTACGTGGATATGTATGTATTGTGTGTGTGTGTATGTATGGGTATGTGCGTCAGTGTATATGTTTTATCAGGGAGGCTTTAACGTTTCACCTGAGAATGCAGCACCGCCGCACTGTATTAGGGTGTCAGCCTGGACTGTGAGTTCAAAGTCCTGATATGGGGCTTGAACATGTAACCCTCTAACTCAGAGGTGAGAGAGCTGATACTGAGCCAGGTGTCACTGATGTCCATGTTGTTCTTCCTTTCCAGACGATCACTCTCGGGTCAGGCTGCAGGCTCTGGATGGAGACCCGAACTCCGAATACATCAACGCAAACTACGTAGATGTGAGTCACCAACACTTTAAACTCCTCGTTAATCTCCAGTGTGGCTTGTGTTTGTTTTTGCTTCACATTTAAAAGTACTGTATCGAGATGCGGAGGAAGGGCCAGACCTGTGTTTTACAACAACAACAGCTTGCATTTATATAGCGTTCTTCACATGGGCTAGCGTCCCGGGGCATTTAAGGGAGCAGTGAGACAGGGCGTTGGGGGCGGAGAAAAGACACAATGCACCCTTTAGTGACGCCGAGCCCAGCTTTTTGAGGATAAACAACGTACCACTTTAGTACACCAAAACAACTCAGAGAGCTTACAGCATTACAGTAATTACTGCATTAAGTGTAAGTGCCTCTTTTTGAAGGGAAGCATTACGTCCACAGACAGTCTATAAGATGAACGGTCACTTTACCCAGGGGATTGTTAACCAAGACACCAGGAGAAATTCCCTTCTTTTGAATAGCGATATGGGATTTTTAACTTCCAAATTGACAGGCAAACTGAACCTGAGTTTTGCCTCATTCTCATCACCCACTATGCAGCACAACTCTACCCACACTCCCCACCCCCACATCTCCACACACCACTCCTCCACCCCCCACACCCACCCCCAGTCCAGACTGAACTCAAAGACCCCAATTCGGGGCTTGAACCAGCAATCATCTGACCCAGAGGCAAGAGCGCAATCATCTGAGCCAGGCTATCACCTACAAACCTCTAGCGGTCCGAGACACCGTTCAACATGAAAGGCACTATAAATGCGAGTTGTTATATTAGGCAAGGGTTATAACAGTAAAACTAAACCTTGCATTGGATTTAGCACCTTTCACAGCAGGAGTAATGATAAATAATAGTTATTTTTGATATAGCGTCTTTGAGACGTCTCAAAACGCTTCACAGAATGAGGGTGAAATGACAACCACACCCCCTGTGTGGTGACCCCCTTGAATTGCAGAATTCCTTCTATTGTGTGGAAACCTCCTTATCATGGGGAAATGTCTTGCTTAAGGGAACCTTATTGTAGGGAACATCCTATTATGGCAAGATAATAATAAGAGTGATAAGAAGCTAAAAGATCGCATGAGAAGAGGTTAGCGGGTAACATAAAGGGGAATCCTAAAATATTTTACAAGCACATAAAGGAAAAAAGGTTAGTTAAAGGTAGGGTGGGGCCAATCAAAGACAATGACGGCAATCTTGTTGTGGAGACAGAGGACATGGCTGATGTACTGAACGAGTGCTTTGCATCTGTCTTCACAACGGAAATGGATGCCCCAAATGCCGCAGTATTGGATGAGAGGGTAGAGGAAATAGATCAGATTACTATAGACAGAGAGGAAGTTCTGAAAAGATTGACTGGGCTCAAAATTGATAAGTCACCAGGACCAGATGGGTTTCACCCAAGGTTGCTGTGGGAGATACGGGTTCAAATAGCGGAGGCTTTGGCCATTATATTTCAATCTTCATTGGACACAGGAGTGGTGCCAAGAGACTGGAGAGTGGCTAATGTTACCCCCTCTACAAAAAGGGGCAGAAAGACAAACCCGGAAATTACAGGCCAGTCAGCCTAACTTCGGTAATAGGAAAACTACTGGAGACCATAATCCGGGACAGAATAAATCTCTACTTAGAGGAACATGAGGTAATTAGAGACAGCCAACATGGATTTGTTAAAGGCAAATCTTGCCTAACAAATCTAATAGAATTTTTTGAAGAGGTGACTGCGAGGGTTGATGAGGGAAATGCGGTGGATGTTATTTACATGGATTTCAAAAAGGCTTTTGACACAGTACCGCATAAGAGATTAATAAAAAAATTAGAGGCCCACGGTATTAAGGGGACAGTGGCAGTTTGGATTAAGAACTGGCTGAGTGACAGAAAGCAGAGGGTGGTGGTTAATGGGTGTTTCTCGAAATGGAAGGAGGTGTGCAGCGGTGTCCCCCAGGGATCGGTATTGGGACCACTGCTCTTTCTAATATATATTAATGATCTGGACTTGGGCATAGAGAGCACTATTTCCAAGTTTGCAGATGATACAAAGTTAGGTAGGGTAGTAAATAGTGAGGAGGACTGTAACCAACTGCAAGCAGACATACACAGAATGGTGGAATGGGCTGACATGTGGCAGATGGATTTCAATGTGGATAAGTGTGAGGTGATACACTTAGGTAGGAAAAATGATAGGAGGCAATATAGACTTGGTAGCTCAATCTTAAGGGGGGTGAACATACAGAGAGATCTGGGTGTTCAAGTAAGCGAATCATTAAAGGTAGCGGGGCAGGTAGATAAGGCAGTAAAAAAGGCATTTGGTGTACTGAGCTTTATTAGTAGGGGCATAGAGTATAAGAGTAGGGAGGTTATGGTTAATCTATACAAAACACTGGTTAGGCCTCAGCTGGAGTACTGCGTCCAGTTCTGGGCACCTTACTTCAGGAAGGCACTGGAAAGGGTGCAGAGGAGATTCACGAGAATGATACCAGGAATGGGGAACCTTAGCTATGAGGACAGGCTGGAGAAGTTAGGACTTTTCCCATTAGAGCAGAGAAGGTTATGCGGGGACCTGATAGAGGTCTTCAAGATCATGAAAGGTTTCGACAGGCTAGATAAGGAAAAGCTGTTTCCGCTGGTAGGTGTGTCTGTGACCCATGGTCACAGTCTTCAGATATCTACCAAAAGAAGCAGAGGGGAGGTTAGAAGAAATGTTTTCACTCAGCGAGTTGTTCGAATTTGGAATGATCTGCCTGAAAGGGTAGTGAAGTCCGATTCGATAATAGCTTTTAAGAGAGAACTGGATAGGTATCTGGGGAAGACGGGTTTGCAGGGTTATGGGGAGAAAGCTGGTGATTGGGGTTAGTGAAAGTGACTTGCTCTGTCAAAGAGCCAGCACAGACTCGATGGGCCAAATGGCTTCCTTCTGTGCCATAACATTCTATGAATCTATGAATTCTATGAATCTATGAATAATCCTTGCATTTGATATAGTGCCTTATCACGTCTTGGAAATGTCACCAAGCGCTTCACAGGATATTCTGTAAAGTGAATTGACTATATATTTTGTGGGCAAAACATGGCGGGCAATTGCACATAGCAGTGTCCCACAAACAGTCGTAGATCGAATGACCAAATTATTATTATTTTATTTATTTTATTAGAAGGAATTATTTATTATAGAGTACATCTCAAAGCGCTTCATAGGATTTATTGTAAAGTGTAGTGACTGGGTAGTGTATCAACAACTACAGCAGCCAATTTTCTCACAGCAATATCCTACAAACAGCCATGAATTGAATGGCCAATTTTATCTGGGGGATTGTTGGCCAAGACCCCAGAAAAAAAAAACCTTCTCTTTTGAAATAGCGCTACAAGACTTTTAACGTCTACCGGAAAAGGCAGACAGGCTCAGTTTAATGTCTCATCTGAAGGACTGCACCTCTGAGAATGCAGCACTCCCCCTCAGCACTGTATTAGAATATCAGTCTGGACAATATACAAGTTCAAAGTCCTGACGTAGAATCCGCAACCGTCTGAAGCATGAGAACTACCAGCTGAGCCGGGCTGACACACAGGCTTGGGGAGTTTTGTGACCTTGAGGTGCTGGAAAACAATCCACAGTTAATTATTTAGATTTATCGATTCCCACACTTCTCCTTTAGATAATTTCAGAAAATTAAGACAATTTACTCCTGCTAGTGGGACTATTCCATCTTCCTGATATGGCACAAATTAATGGTCTTATTTTCTCTCTTCAGGGCTACCACAGGCCAAACTATTACATTGCCACACAAGGTAAGCAAGCCTGCTTTCTAACCTAAACCCCTGACAATCCCCACCCACCACCGAGACTGTCACAGAAGATCAACTCCAAACTTCAGCTGCCAAGCACAACACCTTGGAGTCAGATCAACCTCACTTACCTTAACCTCTCCTCCCCCCATACCCCAACACAAGGAGGATCGTGGTCAGAAGGTTATGGAATCAAGCCCCTGTTTGAGCTTCTAGTGATGTATTGAAATCTAATAGTTTCTTAACTTCACTGACTGACAAACACCATCCTCAAGCAAACGGTACAAGATCCTCTCCCCCCATCAAACTGTACTCACCGACGTCTAAATGTTTTGAAAATGTTTCCATGTTCCTTTATAAACACGCCTAATAATAATCCCTCCAAAAACAAAACAATAATAAATTGGTCATTTTCAATCTACGACTGTTTGTGGGACATTGCTGTGCGCAATTGGCTGCCGCGTTCGCCCACAAATATACAGTCAATTCACTTTACAGTATATTCTGTGAAGCACTTTGAGACGTCAAGAAGACGTGAAAAGCGCTATATCAAATGCAAGGATTATTATTATAAATGCATTAAAAAGTGTTGATGCAGGAATGTAAATGTCTGGAGCTGCAATTGATCGGCAAATGTAATGAGCCTGTAATAGACCTGCAATCTGCCTTTAATAGACTGGGGAGTTCTATAATTACCTGTTCATTAGAGTGTTGCCATCCTCACAGCGTGCCAGGTTTAATCAGAAACCCCTGTAGTCTCCATCTCTGTCTCTCACTCTCTCTCGCTCCCCGCTTAGTACCAGAAGCAGAGTGAAGGTTTAATTTAATCTGCCATCAAGATATCTTTTTTTCTCCTTTGGGAGCTGGTTACATTCAATGTGATTTTTCTACTATTTTCTCTCCCTCACTATCACTCTCTTTCTCTCTCTCTTTCTCTCTATTTCCCTCTCTCTATCTATCCATCTATCTCTCTCTCTTTCTTTGTGTTTATCCAATGCTCTTCCCAATGATAGGAATAATGTAATTGTTTTACGGAATTAGTGGGCCCCCCCCCCCCCCCGGGATATGTGAAAGAGTCACAAACAATAACCGTCTTCAGAGGGTGTCGTAGAGGTTGTTAAGTAAAGGTTGTTAAGAGCGGTTATTGCAGATTGAGATGGGCAGACTCCTGTGAGCAGATGCAGAGCCGTGTTTACTTACCAGCAAGAAATAAAGCTCTCTCGAAGTGGTGAAGGGCACTTTCAGGGCAGAGCAGACGCCACACAGTGTTTCTGTAATCGACAGCTGGAACAGGGGTCACGGGGATGGGTGGCTGAGGCCAAGATAACGGACTCACCAGAAACAGCTTGAAGCAGGAATGAGATGCCTTGAAATTGCTCTGTTCCAACAGAGTAACAGGGTGGGGTGAGGGGAGATGTTAGCAGGGTCTCCTTGAAGTTGACCTGGCAACAGAACAATGAAGTTTGAGCAAATACTCTGTGAGGGTCTCGGTAGTATCATCAGCAGTGCCCTTCAGTACTCCAGAGAAACTAATGGTGATAGATCAGCCAACCTGGCTCATAGGCAGGACTTGGAGATGCAGACTGGGAGCACAGAATCTTGGCATTCATTCAGCTCCTGTTAAGTCTCCGAAAGGAGAAATACATAAAAGGGCATGAGGGTAGGAGTTGTGGGGAAGTGGGGGAATAGGACTAACTGTAGTGTAACAGTAACGCTCACCTACAAAATACACAGTCACTACACTTTACAGTATGTTCTGTGAAGTGCTTTCAGAAGCCCTCCCAATGTGAAAGGCACTATCAAGTGCAACAATTATTATTATTGTGGAGTCCTGTAACTCAGTGGTTAGAGCACTCACTTTGCAAGCAAGAGACAAGTTTGATTCCCAGCAGGGTGAAACCTTGGGCAAGTTTCCTTACTCCACACGCCTAATAATAATCCCTCAAAAAAAAACAATAAATTGGTCATTTCAATCCACGACTGTTTGTGGGACACTGCTGTGCGCAATTGGCTGCTGCGTTTTGCCCACAAATATACAGTCAATTCACTTTATAGTCTATTCTGTGAAGCGCTTTGAGACTTCTAGAAGACGTGAAAAGTGCTATATCAAATGCAAGGATTATTATTATTATCAAACATGCAAATGTCACCCCAGAATAGATGAAGCATGGATACAACTCTGATAAATCTTTGTCCTCGAAGCCCCTTAGGCATTTTTCAGTAGCGTTGACATAGTCGCCAATCAATGAGACAAACAGTGCGTCCATTACTGTGATTGAGCAGCTTGCATGCGGAGGTCCCAAGGCACTAATGTTTAACTGAACAGGCAGTGCATTTAAACACTTAACGTCCAAATAAATTGATCATTCATTTGACAGTGACTTAGGAAGTGGGGGTGTTGGAGAGCATGGAGAGGCTCAAGGAAGTGGGACTGAAGAATCTGCTGCGATAATAATAATAATATTAATATCAATATCCCCCAGCACTGCACTGGAGGTCAGCCTATTCTGTGAGCTCAAAGACATAACATGGGCTTGCATTACAGTTATGTTCAGCCTTATTCTCCAGTCTTCACCCCACCATAGCCTTTGATATATTTTTCATATATTTATCTACCTCCCTCCAGGGGAATTCTGCGTCCTGTTCTGAATTATCACCTAAACCCCCCCAGTCGCACTGTCCATTCTCAGAGCAGGAGTTGTTTTATTTATCATTGAGGCCTGCGGTGTCTAACTAATAGAGTGTAGGGCTAACATTTGGGTTGTCTATTATTACAGCCACTCAGCTGAGTGTATAGCTGGCTATTAGCACCAGGTTAAACCTATAATTAAAAATACAATTATTGAGATGGTGGGTTTCGCACATCCGGAAATCGCCATTCTTATTTATCTTATACTTATTCCTGATGCATTTGTGCCTATGTAATAATCCTTGTGTTTAATATAATATCTTTTACGTCAGGAGGACATCTCAAAGTCGCAAAGCACTTCAAAGGATTAACAACAACAAATTGCATTTATATAGCACCTTTCACATTGTTAGGATGTTTCAAGGCGCTGATTAAATGTAAAGTGTAGTGACTGTATATTTTGTAGGCAAACCCGGCTTTGCACAAATAGCCATGAAGTGAATGATCAATTTTATCTGATGGATCATTGGTCAGGACACCGGGAGAAACTCCCTTTTTTTGATTAGTGCAGACAGGGCCTTAATTTAATGTCTCATCTGAAGGACATCCAACAAGGCAATAGAGTATTAGTTCAAGCCTGTGATTCAGAGTACTACGAACTGAGCCAAGCTGACACCCAGCATTCACAATTCCAGCCAGTTTTTCAAAGACTTCCTTTTTTCATTCAAAACTTATGGTGAACTAATTCCTCAAAACTCACTGAACAGTAAAATGCATTGCTCAGGGTTTGTTGTGTGGCTCCAACTGTGAGTTTCCTCTAATATTCTGTAGCCTGTGATTATGTGCCCGCACCCAGAGATGCTCAAACCAGGCGTGTATATCACTTAACGAGTACTGTGGCATCATTAGTTTGTTGATAGTAATTTAAGCCAAATAGTTCTTAAAACCACCAGCGCCTCATAACACAGGAACCGGTAATTTGCGTATGTAAAGTCAGCAAAAAAAATTGTCATTGTAGCAAATCCATCAGTCTAAAGCGAATAAAATTATCCTCCAGGGCACTTCTGATGACACACTAGCCTGGCTCATCAGTCGGACTTGGGGGGGATGGACTGGCAACAGGGATTCTTCCCACTCAGCCCCTGCAAGCCAAAGCTCGGGAGGTCCTAGCTGGACAAGCAGCAGAAAGCTCGCCAGACAATGTTGTCAATTGCAAGCTATGTAGTCTTAGCTGGGTGATGGCAGCTCAGTTCACTTCATGGTGATATGGGAATAATGGGAAATTCGACAAAAGCCCAACCTTGGCAAAAAACAACTTGCATTTATTCAGTGCCTTTCAAGACAGACGGATGTCTCAAAGAGCCTCACAGTGCTGGCTGGGCACCCGAGCTGGGGGTGGGAGTTGAGAGAGGTGGGGAGGAGAAAGAATTACAAAAGCGCTGACAAAGCAGGAGGTCTTGAGACATGCCTTCAAAGAGTCGAGGGAGGGAAAATGCCATTTTCTCTTTATTCTCTTCCTTCTCAAATGCCAGTCTATTCCCTGCTTCCAACTTTAGAATCGTTTCTGTATTCCCAGGAGGGCCGTCCACGGACTCACCAATCTGTGTGTAAGGATTAATTCTTTAAAAGAGACGGCACTTTCAATACCGTCCATTTTACATCTCGCCCATAAGCCTCCCTTTATCACTTTTCCACCTGGAATGAACGCTCCACAATGAGAGGCAAATCCTTCTCTAACGATATGGTTGGAAGCTGTTCAGAGGAAAGTGGAACAGGAGATTCAGAGAGAAAATATACTCTTTGTAAACGGATTGAGATTATTGCCGTCTGTTGTACAGAAATTTCAAACGCTGATCTGGGACTTCATAAGAACATAACAAAATGCTGGACGAAAAAAAGACCAAGGTCCATCTAGGTCGTCTTCCACCTTCCTGGCGGTCGCATGGCTTCAAGCTGGCTCAGCCCATGGCATTCTTGCCTCTGGTCAGAAAGTCGGGTCTTGAGCTCTTAGCTTCAGTGACACGTCCTTGAGATAATACATTAAATCAAAAGTCCCATTGACCTATCCTCAGGCAGATGTTCAAGATCCCACAAGATAATGATAAAGCTCTTTCCCTCACCTGGTTCAAAATTTATCCCAAGACCTAACTCTTCGAGAATGCTTTTGGTCATCATTTCTCATCCCACACCTTCGGCTCCTACCCCAGCTCGGGGCACTGTTAAGTTCCTTGGGAAGCCCTCCTGATGTGAGAGGCACTGTATAAATGTAAATTTGTATTGAGTTTCTGATTGATAGGACTCCGTACTAATGGGTCATCGCCTCATGGTTGTTTGTGAGACATTGCCACAGACAAAATAGGTTTGCTTATCGTAAAGCTGGCCACTGTTTGACTTTGAGGATGTTTTGCCGTATTTGGTGCTGTGAAGATACTTTCATTCTTACCACTGTGTCCTCTCGTCCCTGCACAGGAGCCATGCAAGAAACGGTGTACGATTTCTGGAGGATGGTCTGGCAAGAAAACACAGCCAGCATCATCATGGTGACCAACCTGGTGGAAGTCGGAAGGGTGAGTCAGTCCCAGGCAAATGCAAAGACTTATTGCATGTAACAGATCAACCCCAAGCACCACAACAATGCAGCACATTCTCCACACTCTCACCCCCACCCAGTCCTTATCACTGCACTGAAAAGTCCATCTCTGCATTCCAGTAAGTTATAGTTAGTTAATATCCAGCAGTAATTCCAATCCACTCTCTATGCTCCCACAAGCTTGAGCTCCTGCCAACCTGGAATGAACGCTCCACAATGAGAGGCAAATCCTTCTCAGAGGTACAGAGCGCTCAGTACCAGCCAAACCCAAATCAGACATACGAGGAACACTCAGTAGTCTAGTTTGGAGACTGACTCACAGTGATGGGTTAGGGTTTATGCCATGAATCAAAAAATATTCAATCAAGAAAAAAATGGAACCACATTAACGATCGAACATAGACTTACCTATTCACTTTCACTTTACAGTGTGTTCTGTGAAGTGCTTTGGGACGTCCTCCCGACGTGAAAAGCACTATATAAAATGCAAGGATTATTATTATTATTACCTAAACTTGGGCAAGTGTTGGGGGGTGGTGGGGTGGGGGGGCGTGGTGGACACACTTCTTGATAGCCCCCCAGGCCACAGGTTGGCCACTAACCACTAGATTAGGATAATCAACGACTGTAACAGGTCGACAGGAACGGTAGTAGAGGCTAGAACACTGGACTCATTTAAAAAGTGGCTTGATGCTGTGATTCGGGGGGACGGAATGGTAGGGTGAGTGTATTGGAGGGATGACATTGGATGGGCCAAAGGGCCTTCTTCATCCAGACTGATCTTGGTGTGTGAAACACCCAGCCAACCACAACAAAGTATAATCTTAGGCTTTGTATGGTGGTGGTTGGGGGGGGGACAGCAATACAACAACGACTTGCATTTATATAGTGCCCCAATGCTGGCTTACATCCCAGAGAGCTTGACCAAATGTAATATTAACGGTAGAACTGAGGGGGACACGGGGTAGACCGGGGCTGGCTTGAATATCACCGCTGCCATCTGCCGCTCTCAAAGTGAGCAGCTAACGGAAGGGGCTTCCCTCCTCTCCCCTCTGCTTGCCTGGCCCTCCCCAACATGGCGAGATCCAACAGCCTGTTAGATCTGGAGCACGCCTCTGCTGTAAGTCTCACCAAAAGCCTTGGCTTTGATTGCTTTCCTGTAAATGAGGCCACACGGGGCGTCGCGAGGCATTTCCGAAGCCCAGCGCGCTGCCCAGTCGCTCTTTCTCTCGCTCGAGCCCGCTCTGCTTGCTCTGGGATTGCAACCTCTTAAGTGCTATTATCACAAGCCATCTGCCTTTTACCAACAATGCTCTGGCTTAAACAGTGGGACCTCAGGGGAGCCTTTCAGAGTGCCAATTTTACTTAATGATTTTTCAATATGTTTAGCAGTAAAACGTATTTAGTTTAATGTGGCACTCATCAGTCGATGACTGTTTGTTCAGAGACTGGAAATGGCAGATTTCGGGGACTGGGAGAACAAAGCCAGTGATTACCGACAGAAAAATCACTTGTGCCTGAGTCCGCAGAGGGACCCGGGGTGCTTGATGCTTAATAAAGACTTATTCGATTTTACAGCTTCATTCCCTGTTTAATTACTCGACTGCCTACGATGCTGAGTGACAGTAGTGCTGATAGAAACCAACCATCGCTTACCTATGTGCTGCTCCGATACAGAGTGTATTCACAGGACTGACACTGTATGTCCAGGAGCTAATCCCCATAATTAACCCCGTTGATCTACTACCACCCCCCCCCAACCCCACTCTCCCATCACCCCCCACCCCAACAAGCAACCCCCACTTTCCCTTCCTGATAACCAGCTCGTGCCCCACAGCAACCTGCCCCTCCCCCACAACAACTAGCCCCCTCTACAACAATCAGCCCCCTCTACAACAACCAGCCCTACAACAACCACCCCCCCTACAACCAGCCCCCTCTACAACAACCAGCCCCCCCCCTACAATAACCAGTCCCCCTAAAACAACCAGCCCCCCCTACAATAACCAGCCCCCTTACAACAATCAGCACCCCCCACAATAACCAACCCCCCCACAACACCCATCTCCCCCCTACAATAACCAGCCCCCCCTACAACAACCAGCACCCCCACAATAACCAGCCCCCCCCACAACAACCATCTCCACCCCTACAATAACCAGCACCCCCCACTACAACAACCATCTCCGCCCCCACAATAACCAGCCCCCCCAATAACCAGCCCCCACCACAACAATCATCTCCCCCACGTACAATCACCAGCCCCCCACAATAACCAGCCCCCCCCACAGTAACCAGCCCCCCCCACACACAATAACCAGCCTCCATTGGCTGCCACATTTGCCCACAAAAATACACAGTCAACTCACTTTACTATACATTCTGGGAAGCGCTTTGAGACAACTTAACAACATAATAAGGCACTACATCAAATGCAAGGATTATTATTTTTAACCAGGCCGCCCTCTTGAGGCATGCAAGGGTTTGGTAATCCATTGATGGACCATCTACACCTACAGGATAATTGGTGGCGGTGGTGGTTGGGGAAGACAAAGCAATTTTACGGCTTAATTAGAGATGTGTTATTTGTTTGCAGTGTGGGCCAGCCAAGCAGCTCAGCAATGACAGATTTAGAGCAAGAGAAGTATAACTGAGAGCCAGAGTGTCCCATCCATCTTACTAGAGTGCGCTTATTGGCAAAGTAATAAAGATAACAAAGGCACTCTGTCACTTTGTAAATTAACGGCTGTAATTTATTCAGAATTAAAGTCAATCACCGAACGAGGAACGAGCGACACTGGCTGCTTCATTGGCTGAGCCACCTCGTGGGGCTGCTAATGAGATTTAAATACAATCGGCAAATGGCTCCTTTAACCAGCGGCTCCCAGAGAGCTTACCGGTTGCACCCCCCCCACCCCAGCTGCTTAAAGAGGAAGAGCACTTAATTGAAGGAAAAGTTATACAGATACCGATCAACACCATATACCTACATATCATATAGAATATTGTAATATATTTTCAGCATCTTTCAGGGGTAATAATCCCTAACAAAATATTGGGTTATTAAATCCATAACTGTTCATGGGACCCTGCTGTCCGCAGTTGCCTGCATACGATTCACCCACAAAATACGCCGTCAATCCACTTTACAATATATTCTGTGAAGCATTTTGAGTGGAGTCCAGTAGCCTGTTTACCCAGCAGTAAGTAGAACCGGATTGTTAGTCGATTGGTGAATCGCTTTCCAGGGGTAATAATCCTTTTAAAAAAATTGGGTGATTCAATCCACGACTGTTTGTTGGACACCGCTGTGCGCAATTGACCACTGCGTTTCACCCACTAAGTATACAGTCCATTCAATTTACTTCATATTCTGTGAAGCGCTTTGAGTCGTCTCAACAATATGATAAGGCGCTATATCAAAGGCAAGGATGATTATCTTGAAACTCCTGAAAAAATATCATGGCAATTAAGAATTACTGCAAAATTGATCCTTTTATTAGTTCCAATATAAGGTGAGCACTTGTACTATGTGAGTCAATACTGAGAGCTTAAAGGGTTTCACAGTTCAATTCTTTGAAAACATCGCTTTCCAGGTCAGCAAAATTTAGGGACAATCACAGGAATACTAATGAGAGAACGTCTCCATCTGAATAATGTCAGCATTTAAGACAAATCACAGGAAAGGGAGATCATTTCCTGTAAGAGAGCAGTGTGCAATACTAGCCCAGGTATCCAGTGAGTTAGATAGAGGCTAGAGCTCTCTTCATAAAACTCTGCTCCTTCTCCAGAACATCTTCACTAACTTTACTACACCAGCCTGACATTCTTCACCCCCAACAGCACTGAGAGATATCCAGGAACAGGATTAGAGAGAGATACAAAGAGAGAGAGTTGCAATGAACTCTGAAATTTATGGGGATATCAATGGAGTCTGAGAAACAAGCCCTTGTGATAGTTGAGCCCGAGGACTATTTAAGTGCTCAATAAGTGGCTGGAATCAAGGTGGGAGCCCCTCACGCTTATTTTAGCTGAGATAAAATGAACACTTTATTACAATAACAACTTGCACTTATATAGCGCCCTCCAACAGGGTAGCGTCTCAGAGCGCTTAACAGTAGTGGAGCCTGACTCCAAGGCTGTGGAGGGGGTGAGAAGGGAGGCGGCCATAAGCACAGTCGCAGAGGAAGGTCTTCAGGCGGGACTTGGAAAAGGGGAGAGAGGGGGCAAGGTTGAAGGAATGAGGGAGAGTGTTCCAGAGTTTAGTGGCTGAAAGCGCGATTTCCGATGGTGGGGCGGAGGGCGCGACGGAGAGCAGGAGGCTGGTGCCAGTCGAGCAGAGGCGCCGGGTGGTGGATTCGGGAGTGAGGAGGTTGGAGAGGTGGGGAGGTGCCAAAGAGCAAAGGGATTTGAACACGAGTGTGAGGATCTTGAAGTCGATCCTTTCAGTGATGGGGAGCCAGTGGAGCCTGGCCAGAACTAGTGAGATTTAGGTACTGAGTTTGGTCCAGGTCAGTATGCGAGCAGCAGAGTTCTGAATGAGCTGGATCTTTTGAATAGTGGATAATTACCTTTACTCGGTGTGTGGATTAATTCCTTATACCAATAGGGTCATTGACGAGAACCCTTTCCTCACTTGGGAGAAATATTATAACAGAGAAAGACGGCAGAAGAGAGAGATACAAACAGAGATATAGTTAAGGAGGCAGAGGTATACAAAATATATGTAAGATTTTAAATGGGATTGAAACTCAGAACAATACTTTCAGATGCAACAAGACAGAATAAGAGAAGACAGGCACAGGATGGCAAAGGACAATGACAGCATGGTCACAGGGAGATACAGTCCTGTATTTCTTTACCCAGAGGGTAATTTTAATGACTGTAAAAGGTGATCTACAGAGAAGGTAGTTGAGACTAGGACGCTGGAATTTCTGGCCTAAAATCCTTTCCTTGCTGGTGAGCAGAGGAGACAGTCAGGTCGTATTCAATACCCACAAAAAATAGAATAATGGAAATAAATTTACAGCACAGAAGAAGGCCTTTTGGGCCATTGTGTCTGTGCTGGCTCTTTTTAAAAAGAAATCCTTTCAATCCAATTTACCTGCTCTTTCCCCCCATAGCCCTGTAGTTCACTCCTGTTTTGATATTTACCCAAAATGCTTTCTTCTAATGTTGGTCCCTTTCTGTCTTTTCCAAACCCATGAAACAGGTGAAGTGCTGCAAATACTGGCCCGATGACACAGAGATCTACAGAGACATTAAAGTGACTCTGATTGAGACAGAACTGCTGGCTGAATATGTCATAAGGACATTTGCAGTAGAGAAGGTAAGCAAGGTTTCTGTATGAGGTGCTGGAATCCTCAATCAAAGATCTCAATGGCCGCAGAGATCCGCATTATCTGGCACTATGTTTGACCCCAAAGTGCGGTCATTTCACACCATTGACAGCTGTTTGTGACCAGTGCTGTCATCAGTCTAGGTTGTTGACCACGGAGTTATCTGAAGCTCCAGAGGCCGAAATTCCTCACGATCTGAGACTCAATTTGGAAACTGGTTCTTCCATTACTGTGGAATTTTCTCAGTGAAAATTCCTCCCATCTCCAAGTGATTTCCCTATAACTCAGTGTATTCCTGTCATCCCCGAGTGATTTCCTCCTGTTTCTGAATGTATTCCCGCTATCTGAGCGATTTGCCCCTGTGTCTGTGTATTCCTGCTATCTCTGAATGTTTCCTCCTGCCTCAATATGAATTCCTGTTATCCTGACTTTGCTTTGGCTCAGTGTGAATTCTACTACTTCAGTGTGATTTCCTGCTATCTCATTGTGATTTCCTGCTATCTCAGTGTGAATTTCTGCTATCTCTGTGTGAATTCCTGCTATCTCAGTGTGAATTCCTGTTATCTCAGTGTGATTTCCTTCTGTCCAAGTTATACGATGTTTCTGTGGTGTTTGTTAGCATTGCTTGATGATGGCTGCTCGTTGTATTTCTTTGACCTGAAATGACACCCAGTGAGTATCGGGAGACAAATATCTCTTCCCTTTCCCCCATCACAGCGAGGAGCTCATGAGATCCGGGAGATCAGGCAGTTCCACTTCACGAGCTGGCCGGACCACGGAGTTCCTTACCACGCCACAGGACTTCTGGGCTTTGTAAGACGCGTTAAGTCAAAGAACCCAGCAGGGGCAGGATCCATAGTGGTGCATTGCAGGTAAGCAGAATAATTACTGCCATTTGATCTGAGCCAGACAAAAAGGGGTTCACTCTACAGAATACAAATCCATTCACTACAACAGTACCATGCAAACAGGGCAACTCCTGTCTTTTCTCCACACCCCTGTGAAGGAGAATACAGGCAGGAGCCAGGCAGATAGGTTCACTGGGTTCCCAGCTGGCGCCCAGTTTCTGACGGACATTGTGGTTGCTTCCCTGCATTCTAGGCAGCTTGTAGGGGGTGGCACCAGGCAGCTTGTGGGGGGGGGGGGTGGCTCCAGGCAGCTTGTGGGGAATGACTGTGTTAATGTTGTCTGATTCCTTCCCAGCGCCGGAGCAGGAAGGACAGGCTGTTTCATGGTCATCGACATCATGCTGGACATGGCAGAGAGGGAAGGAGTCGTGGATATCTACAACTGCGTTCGTGAACTGCGCTCCCGCCGAGTCAACATGGTGCAGACTGAGGTATCCTTCCCCATCACTCTCTATAACATGTGTCTGGTGGTGACCTTTAACATGAGCAAGACTTAAAGGCTGGAATCCTGAAATTTTCCCTTATCCTAGAATATGACCACTTTATCTTGAAGTTTAAGATTGCACAGAATTGTGGAAAATTCTTCAATCCAGGCTTAATTTAGAAGCCAGATTTCCACAGATTTATATTAAAAAAAACGTTTCCTAATAAAACAAGGCGTCATCTTGACTCAGTCGTGGCACTCTCTCCTGAGTCAGAAGATTGTGGGTTCAAGCCCCAAGTCGGGACTTTGAACTCACACTCCAGTGAGATACTGGGAGACCACTTCTCTGTCACAGGTGCCGTTCTTCAAATGAGACGTTAAACCAAGGTCTCGTCTGCCGGTTCAGGTGGACGATAAAGATCCCATAGCAGTAATCAAAAAGAGGAGGGAGTTTTTCCTGGTGTCCTGTCCAACACTCCCCCAAATAAAATTAGTCACTCACTTCACAGCTGTTTGTGGGACATTTCTGCACACAAATTGACTGCTGCATTCACCTTCAAAATATACAATCATTGTACTTTACAGTAAATCCTGTGAGCGGTTTGAGACATTTCCCGCCAAGGTGAAAGGCGCTGTATCAAATCTAAGCATTATTATTATTAAGACCAAATTTAAGAATTTTCCCTACCTTAAATTTTTAAGACAAAATGATCTCAGGGGTTAAAACAAGGTGGAATTTCAGATCTTGGGTGGGATTCCCGGCAATCCCGGGGGTTGAACAGTTAAAGGAGTTTGAAACCGATGCCACATGAGTGATTAATAATACGCTGTATATTTGAGGATATTGCCATACAGCAGTTTATTCCTTAATGTGCAATGAAAAAACCTTTCCAGACCATTTGTTGTGAAATGAATTGCGTCTCACTCACCAACACAACATTAAAAACTTGTTCAGAAATTTTTTTTTGGTCGACCGGGTGTCTGACACATGCTTAAGAGTATCCAAACCAAACTGAATATTCCATGCATTCCACCTACACATGGAACGGAATGTGCGTTCCCTTTCCCAGAGATATGCACCTGCTTACTTAATTCCGGAGAGTACTAGGCACAGGTTGGCAAGAGCCAAGCCTTGGACACCCTAGAGTGTGTCATTGGGGTAACTGCTGGCGATTAACAAGTTATCAACATATTTCTGAAATGGAGCAATTATTATTGTTATTATTGCAGTGAAATTCAGATAACTCGCCCCTGGGATAAGTCATCAACCCCACATAACTTGTGACTTACTCAAAATTCCAAGCTATTGGAGCTATTGGAGATACTGTATTTTGAATAATGAGTTAACTGTGATAATAATCATTTTACAGTATATGCTGTGAAGCACTTTGAGATGTCTCAACGACATGATAGCACGCTGTATCAAATACAAGGATTATTATTATTATTATTTAAGCTCCTTCCCTTGGGGTGACGAGTTATCTACAGTTTCACTGTATTTTGAAGCATTAATTTCCATGCGTAAAAGGAGTTTCCGCTCTTCAATGGTGAAATTGTCTGATTGGTCTCTTCCCCTCCCGGCCGGTCAGGAGCAGTATGTCTTTATCCACGATGCCATCCTGGAGGCCTGCCTGTGCGGGGACACCACCATCCCAGACTCACAGCTCAGGTCAGCCTACTATGAGATGAACAAGCTGGAGCCTCAGACCAACTCCTCGCAGATGAAGGAAGAGTACAGGGTAAGCACGGGAATAGGCAGAGAAAACCCACCTGACATCCTCTGAGATCCTGAAGCAGCGGAACGAGAGGGGCGATTTCAGCTCAGGCAGCAGGAAGCAGCTCAGTGCAACTTCAATATACTTCGGATGAGATGTTAAACCAATGTTCCGCCCACCTGCGCCTGTTCAGCTACTTGAAAAGAGGAGGGAGTTTCGCCCAGTGTCCTGGCCAACAATCTTCCCACCCCCAACCCCACCCCCCGCCCCCACCGCCCTCCATTCACCCATTCATGTTTGTGGGACAATGCTGCGCATAATTTGGCTGCCGTGTTCACACACAAAACACTTTACAAAAACTTTTGGGTCATCTAGACACTACATCAAATGCAAAGATAATGACTGCATTAATATTATTATTAAACTGTTATTGTTAAGTGGTTTCAGGGTTTGTAAATGTTAGCTTTAGGGCAGGCACCACAAAGCAGTTTAGGCAATAACTCACTTTAGTATTTATATTACGTTAAATAAATAAACAATGGGGTCAAAAGTGCAACAACAACAATTTTCATTTATATAGGCCTTTCACGCACGGATATGTTGGGATATCGTAAACTACCCACCACCCTGTCTTTTTCTTCCTGTTCCTTCAAGACTCTGAACATGGTGACCCCTACCCTCCGAGTGGAGGACTGCAGCATCGCCCTGTTACCACGCAACCACGAGAAGAACCGCTGCATGGACATCCTGCCCCCGGACCGGTGTCTGCCCTTTCTCATTACAATAGACGGCGAAAGTAGCAACTACATCAACGCAGCCCTCATGGATGTGAGTAGCTCTCGCCGCAGCTTGCTGGAAAGTTGGATCAATTGGCTGCTGTGTTTCGCCTTCAAAACACAGTCAATTCACTTTATGGCATATTCTGTGAAGCGCTTTGATACGTCTCGAAAATGTGATAAGGCATTATATTAAATGCAAGGAGTATTATTATTACAGTGGGATTCCCCACTATAGCTTCCCTTCCCCCCAAAATACACACTGTAAGGACTACACAGCATCAAGGTCGATAATTGACTCCCATGAGGGAGCCTGAGACTGAAAGCTCAATTCTCCAACTCTTGTTCACACCCGTTTAAAAAAAAAAGGGGCGGGAATTGAAACTTTGTTCGTTGCTTGTCTACTCTCACGGTTACTCTTTAACATTGCTGATCGCTCACGAGGACTCTGAAACCTGTCCTCTATTTTCAGAGTTATAAACAGCCGTCAGCATTCATTGTTACTCAGCACCCGTTGCCCAACACTGTAAAGGATTTCTGGAGGCTGGTCCTGGACTATCACTGCACATCTGTCGTCATGCTCAACGATGTGGATCCTGCACAGGTAGGTGCCCAGAGTAGGTTCAGCCCCACATTACAAGGACTTCTCCACTATAGGGGGTTCCCCTGCTTTGGGGTCCTCCACAACACAGGTTTCCCTGCATTGTAACCCCAGTGTAGACACACTACACACTGTCAGCGGGATTTGCAATAGGTTATTTTTTATTGAATAGTACAATGTTGTTGGGTTTGAATCGTGATGTATCGCACATCACATGTGTAGGAGTATGACTGTAATGACTGCAGGTAATTGTGTATGACTACAGTGCTTCACTCAACTCAGGTGGATAGCTATTTGTTAGGTCAGGGTATTAAGGGATACAGAGCAAGGGAGGGTAATTGGAGTTGAGGTATGGATCTTATAGAACGGCGAAACAGACTCAAGGGGCTGAATGGCCTACTCCTGTTTCTATGTTTCTATTAACTGGGGATCAACCAGACGACTGAAGGCTGATAGCCTGAACCCAGCATTGTCTCAGTCAATCCATACACTCTGGCACCACAGCCTACTTGTACATTAACCCTTGAATGTGTTATTCACTGCCAGATCTCCTAACAATAAATCATCTTTGCGCCTGTAACACTGACACATCCTCCAAGGGCAATCATATGTAGTGACTGAGTATTTTCTGGACGAATGTCACCATCAATTTGCACACACACAGCAATGTCCCACAAACAGCCTTGAAGTGAACAGAGGATTCTTGGCCAGATCAATGGGAGAAGCTACCTTTTCTTTTTGAATAGAAAGATAAGAGTTTGGAGGTACTGTCCTTTCGATGAGACGTTAAACTGAGGTCCCGCCTGCCTGTTCAGGTGGACGTTAAAGATCGCATAATGGGTGGCAATGGACATTGGCCAGGACTGGAGGGATAGATTAATGGCAGGCAATGTTGTTTTGGATGAAATACGGCCCCCAACACCCCCACCTCCTCCACCGCCACACACATCCTCATCAGAGCGCCCACTGTAGATTGCCTGGCAACACTTGTCATCAAGCATCATACCCGAGTAATGCCAACATGGAAGAGGTCACGGAGCGATAAAAGGAGTCAATGTATCATCTTGGGAGTGGGGGGCGTGAGGAGGGGGGCTAGGAGGAGGAGGAGATGGGGGAAGGAGGAGCGATAATTGGGAGGAAGATTATATATAAAAAATAACCTACACATGTACCAAATGTCCTTTTTCTTCCTGTTTGAACCCAGCTGTGTCCTCAGTACTGGCCTGAGAATGGAGTGCACCGACACGGCCCCCTCCAGGTGGAGTTTGTGTCAGCCGATCTGGAGGAAGACATCATCAGCAGAATATTCCGAATTTACAATGCGTCCAGGGTAAGGTAGCCAGCGGCCAGGGTAAGGCTTCCAGGGGCCAGGGCAAGGTAGCCAGCATCCGGGGTTGGATAGAAACCGGATGGGGGAGAATCTCAGATCTGGGTTACTGCAAGTACGTCAGGCTGATGCTCGGGACCATCGCTCCATCATTGCCTGATTCCAGCAAGGAGGGTGATGGGGATGAGGATTCCTCATTAAGAAACTCCAGCTTGAAATCCTGTGGGAAAACCGGCAAGGGGAGTCCAGAGGGTTGTTGTTAAATTTTCCCTTCTGGCTATTCATGCCCCTTGTCTCCCTCTCTCTCTCTCTCTCTCTCTCTTCCCCCCTCCGCACTCCCCCTGTGAACGCCCCTCTCTCTTGACAGCCTCAGGACGGGTATCGGATGGTGCAGCAGTTCCAGTTCCTCGGCTGGCCCACCTACCGGGACACACCCATGTCCAAGCGCTCCTTCCTCAAGCTGATCCGGCAGGTGGAGAAGTGGCAAGAGGAGTACGACGGGGGGGAGGGGCGCACCGTGGTGCACTGCCTGTAAGTATTGTCAATGGGGGCGTTGGGGTGGTGGGGCTCCTTTGCACCCCAACCCATCTCGTGATCCAAATAGGAACAGGAGGAGGCCATTCAACCCATCGAGTCTGAGCCTTGTGCCACTCTGCCCCCACCCTCTGGAACTCCAACCCGCAGTCCCTCCGCCTCACCCCCTTCTTTGCCTCCTTCAAGACCCATCTCAAGACCCTCCTCTTCGACTGTGCTTTCGATCACCCTGCTTCCCCCCCTGCCCTCCCCCTTGCCTGATCCCGACCCTCAGCTCGGGTCCAAAACTCTGTCTGTCCAGTGCCTTGGGACGTCCTCCCAACATGAAAGGCATTACAGAAATGTAATTTTGTTGTTGTTGTTCCGTCAGTTCATTAGATCGTGGGGATTTGTTTTAACCCTGTTTCCCCGCCTTTTCCATTTCTTCCCAAGAATATTAGAGATTACTGTATTTGCGGAGTATTTCTATAGCTGCCCCCTCACATTGGGACAGTCTAGGTTGACGCTCCAATACAGTGCTGGGGGGAGCACTGCACTGTCAGAGGTGTTGTCATTTGGATAAGCTGTTAAACTGAAGTTCCGTCTGCCTGTTCGGTTGGATGTGAAAGAGCCCATGGTACTCCTAGAAAAGAGAAGGGAGTTTCTCCCGGTGTCTGGACCAACAATCCTCCAAATAAAATTCATCATGTTATTATTATATAGGCTGCATTGCTCCCAATTATCCTGTGAACAGCAAGGTCTACAGTGCCCCTCAGTGGATACTTGGTATATTTCTTTTTTGTGGTTTGGTTCAGAAAACTGTTTTTGTATCTCCAATGTTTAAACGTCTGACAGTAATCACTGGCACGGGGCGGTGACTATTTTTATTGTAGAGGAAAGCGATGGCCATTTTGCACATGGCAAGGGCCCACAGACAAACACCCAATTGATTTGATCACCAGGACAATGGTGAAGCTCCCAGCACATAGGAGCATAGGAGTTGCTAGACGGAAAAAAGACCATGGTCCATCTCGTTCACTTTCTACCAACCTGGTAGTCGCATGCTCCAATAAAGGAGGTATTGATAGCAATTAATTCTGTATGGATTAGTCTACTGCAGAATAGAAAGCTGTGGGAACCTTAGATCCAGAGTTGCCTGGTTCTTCCAAGCCATGCTGCACAGAGCAGACAGGAGCTAGGCTCAACGTCTCATCCAATGGAAGCCATCTCCAACCTACAGTGCTTCTTTCTACCCACCAACCCCCACCCCGCACCCTTACCACCATCCCTCTCTCACATTGGATCTCGTGAGACTTAAACCCGCAATGGTCAGACCTTGAGGTGAGAGTGTGACAGGCTGAGCCAACCTGACACACAGCACAGTGTTAAATTTGCAGCACTGCACTAACAAGCTCTGCAGCCACGGCCTGTGATGTTCGCTCAAGGCCTTCAAAGAACAAACGAGGCTGACCTGAGGCAGCCTCCTCACACACTGGAGGTCACCCCGACAGCACCACCTCCAGGGCAGGAGCTTGTCGATTAGAGCTTCCAACCTGGTCTCAGCCTTTTATTCTAACCCTAGTCAGTTATTAAATGGGAATGTGTTGGATTTCGCTCACTGTGTTACTGGTGGGAAAGTGCTGTCTTTTATTGTCCTCTGGGCTCAGACTGTGCTGTCAATTCTGGGAGCCTGGTGATAGCGCTGAGCTGAGGCTGTGTTGAGCAATGCTGGGCAGCTACACCCGTGACTCCACCACCGCCTGGTGTGGGACTGAGCCAGCCAGAACCCAGGCTCCGACCCCATCAATTTAGCCGATCTCAGCCCAGGCAGCAACCTGGAACAGAGTGAGACAATGCCAACCTGGGACAAATGCCAACTGTGGTTCTAGCTACCTAGTGACCTCTGTTCCATATGTGTATGTTTGTGTTTGACATAGAATAATAATCCTTGCATTAGTTTTGTGTGCGTCTGCTTGTGTTTTGTATGCACGCTTATTCTTGCATGTATTTGCGTGCCCATGCACACGTATGTGTGTGTGTTGTGCATATAGAGGGAGGATGTATCTTTGTATGTGTGTGTCGAGGCAGAGTGGCCCTGAGCAGAGAGTAATTCTCAAATTGTGTGTTAGGAAGTGTGTATTTGTGTGTGTGTGTGTCTGGAGGAGGGTGTATATGTGTAAGGAGTGTGTGTGTGTGTGTGTATGGAGGGAAGGAGGGTGTGTGTGGAGCCAGCATTACCCTGAGTAGAGAGTAATTCTCAAATTGTGTGTGTTAGGGAGAGTGTCTGTGTATGTGTGGGGGTGGGGTCTGTATTTGTATGTGTGTCTGGAGGAGGGTGTGTATGTTTCTGTGTGTTGGGGTAGCATAGCCCTGAGCAGAGATTAACTCCTCGGCCTTTCCCTGCAGGAACGGTGGAGGCCGTAGCGGGGCATTCTGTGCCATCAGCATCATCTGTGAGATGCTGCGGCACCAGCGGGCGGTGGACGTTTTCCACGCCGTGAAGACACTGAGGAACAATAAACCCAACATGGTGGACCTGCTGGTACGTCCTCCTGCTCACACACACAGCGTCCCTCACTGGTCTAATAATAATAATAATAATAATAATAATCCTTGCATTTGATATAGCGCTTTTCATGTCAGGACGACATCCCAAAGCACTTCACAGAACACACTGTAAAGTGAATTGACTGTATATTTGTGGGCGAACGCGGCAGCCAATTGCGCACAGCAATGTCCCACAAACAGTCGTAGATTGAAAATGACCAATTTATTATTGGTTTTGGTTTTGGAGGGATTATTATTATTATTAGGCGTGTGGAGTAAGGAAACTTGCCCAAGGTTTCGCCCTCTGCCTGGAATTGAACTCAGGTCTCTCACTTGCAAAGCGAGTGCTCTAACCACTGAGCTACAGGACAGAAACCCGACACACTCGCTCTCAGCCCTAAGATCCTTTGGCCCATCTGATCTCATCCTTCCTCAATACCCATCCCATCGTCCTCTATTACAGCTTCGAGCTGTTTCGTGCATGAGTCCAGAGTCTGGCCTCAACCACCCTCCCGAGTAAAACTGATCCAGTTGCTGATCCGTACTGGGTAAAGACAAATGGTCTCGCAGGCTAATACTGGGTGGACCTTTGATGAGGACAAGGTAGGTCTGGGCTGCAGTGCTTCCCCGCAGTTGTATGAGCTGCCAACATGCACTGTGAGGGCTCACACTCTAGGAATGCCCCACTTCGTGGGATGAGGTGTTCGATGACACCTGTTAATGCTGCTCGGGCTGGCATCGTGCCACACTGAGCGACACTCTCACACAGTGAGGCTACAAGCAAGGGAGGCAACCAACTCCTCTCTGCTCTTACTCCCCTCCGAGTGGATAGCTTAGCTTCTATATCCCACATCAGGGCAGGTAACCAGCCAGTCAGCGCAGGAAGCGAGTGGTGCTGCACAGTCCCAGTCCACAGTGTTACACGGGAGCTAAGGTATAACTGTGTTATGCCATGAGGTGCTGTCATAGGTTAAAGTCGCCGGCACAGTGTCACTAAAAGCTTTCAATGACTTTGCCATTTTTCAGGAACAGTACAAGTTCTGCTACGAGGTGGCGATCGAGTGCTTCAATTTGGGCTGACAGAGATTCTGTGGCAGCCGATGAACCAGATGACCACCCACCCCTTCCTCACTCTCCCCTCCCCCCCACCGTGTCCCATCCCAACCGCATCCGGACCGCAACTCCATGACGTCCAGTAAAACTGTGACAAGAAAATAATTTGTTTTTCTTCAATGGAAATCCATCGTCCGAGCGAGACAACTCTGATTTCCTCTTCTGCGTTTCGTCTTTTCTCCCTCCTGGATCTTCTTCCTGAGCCGAGAAAGCGAGCGAGCAAGCGAGAGAGAGAGCAAGCGAGAGAGCGAGCAACAGACGGACACAGACAGAAAGACTGGAAATGTTGCACTGCCGAACATTTTAACAGAGAGCAGCTCCATATACTGTGGATGTTTGATATTTAAAACGAAACCTGTATTCACATTAAACTGTAATGCGCATTTATTCACGGCCTTTGATGTAGTTATCTGATGTACAGTAATTAAACAGCACGTTTTTTTTCGGGGGGGGATTGTTTTTAATGGCAGAAAACAAAAAAAATGCCCAAGTGGAGTTGAGGAATGCCGTTTCAGCATCCATCTTGTAGAAAGTCAGAGAGCGATGATGGCAACCGGCCTTTGCGATGTTCTTCTTGACACAATGTTCCATTTGAAACCTTCCTTGTTTCCCCCCCACTCGCCCCATTCCGATTTTGTTTAATTCCCCAGGATCTCCCTCCCTCCCTCCCTAGCTCCTCGGCCCCCCTCCCTTCCTCCTCCTGCCCTCACAATCATAATGGTAAACTTGTCTGTTTGAATCCGGAGATTAACATTAATAATATTTCACCAGCATATCTGGAGGCATGCAAATCCTTTTAAGGTCATTCCCTTCCTCGCTTTTCCCTTCCAACCTCTTCCCTTTGTTTCTCTCTCCTCTTCCCTTTGTCTCTCGTCCTCCCACTCTCCTTTCTTCCTTCCTTCCCTCCTCTTCCTTCCTCTCTCATTCCCTTTCTCTTTCCCCTTCTCTTTTGCCTTCTCTCCTTTCCCATCGCTCTTCTTCCCCTTTCCTCGTTCCCTCCCTCTCTCCCCCCCTTACTCCCTTCATTGCTCTCTCTCGTTTCCCCTCTCCCTCATTCTTTCTCTCTTCTTACCTATACCTGAACACTTGTCATAGCGCAACTGACATTTTATTGTTCGAGTTTGCACCTTCAAGTAAGAACACAAAAAGGTTTCTATGTTCCCATACAGATTAAGGAGGTGAGAGTTGTGATGTGTGTTGTATTTAACAAGTGCACCGAAATCAGTGACGTAACATAATTATCACACCATCTAGTGTCCTAACTATCCCCCCAATCCGGGTGAACCCAGCTGGTGTACCCAGAGGAACCCCCACCTCAGCTCTCAGCTCTCTGAGAGTCAATCCTGTGTGAAGGGCGCCATATAAATGCATGTTATTGTTGTGTGTCCTTCCTGAACACCCACCCTAGCGTCCCCCCATCCAAGCATCAAATTGATACTCAATTGAGTCTTTTGCTCAGCCACTCTTCCTGGCAACCTATTCCAGTGGTTAATTACCCACTTTGTAAAGAAATACTTCCTGGTGTTTGTCCTGAAATTGCTTTCCACTCACCCTGAACCCATGCCCTGCTTATTTGACGTATCAGGAAGTATCGTTCTGGATTTATTTCCTCACACTTTTCATTTAAGGTTCCCCTCTGCAACTTCTCTTTTGAAAACTGTGTACATGTGAATTCAAGTGGGCGCCAGCCATGGGTGAAGCCTTGCTGTTGCCCCCATCATCAGTTGATGGCAATAGTCAACTCCTAATGTGGTCCTGGTTTATTGAGGTGGTCTATGTCCGAGGCACAGTGCATGTCTCTACAGTGTGGAGAATACACTGGCACTGGCCAGCGGCTAACACTGGCACTGGCTGCACACTCCTTCCTTTGCAATCACAACGCTGCACAAAAGAACAGTGTAGGTGACCAACGTGGAATTGAATGACCACTTGTAGGCAGGAAAAGTTAACTGTCTCTCCTCCTGAAATCAACCCCCTTATTATTTCCCTGGGGAAGGAGCTACACCTGTCAAGATAGTTTCATCACGATACGTGATGCAGTTGTAAAAAAATATGGAAAGCCAGAAATATCAATGTCCTAAATGAAAGAGCCAAAGCTTTCTTCCTTCCGTCTCCCTCCCTTTAACCTTCTTTTCCTCCCTTCCTCCCTCCCTCCTCTCTCCTCTCATTTGTTTATATTGTAAATATTTATGAATTTCATCAATTAATTTATTCATGAAGATTCTTTTTGTGAAGCGCACAGTGAGTGACAATCATGTTTCCGAGACCTTAGCATTGTCCACAGGATGATATTGTCAAAACTCTTGGTTTATCTTGTATTGATTCATAGTTCAATAATAATAAAAAAAAATCGATCATACCACTGGGTGGCGGTGATGTCTACTGTAAACATATAATCCTTGCGTTCGCCTTTCATGTTCGGGAGGACATCTCAAAGCATTTCACCAGATATACTGTAAAAAGGAGTGACTGCGTATTCTGTAAGCAAGTGTTTCAACCCAGATTTGCACACCAACAGTCACCAATTGAATAACCAATCCAAATACGCGACTTAGCAAAACAGGCATTTGGAATACGTCCACTATTAAAAAAAATAAACTTACTTCCTGATTAGCAGGTTTTGATCAGATATCTTTCAGACAATCTAAGCCTACTGTTTTCTTGGATAGTTAAAACTCCTTAAGGTCTTATTACTATTTCCTACCACTCGCCTTCATTCTCCCCCACCCCCAAACACACACATTATTTTATTACTGCCACATTATTTTATTACTGTTCCCACCCCTGAAAAACATTGGTCATCACCCCTATCCTCAAAAACACCTTCCCTGGACCCATCCCTGCTCTCAAATTACTGCCCCATTTACAATCTCCCTTTCCTTTCCAAGGTCCTTGACTGTGTTGTTTCCTAACTTCGCTCCTTCCCCTCCACCATTCCCTATACAAAACCCTCTAATTGGGTTTCCATGCTGCACAAAGCAAAGAAACATCTCTGGTCAAAGTGAGAAATGACATTCTGTCCATCTGTGACCAGGGCTCTGTCTGTCTTCTCATCCTCCTTGACCTCCTGCCTTTGATACAGTTGACCACTGTATCCTCCATCACCTCTCCTCTCACCTCAACCTTCATGGTTCTGTCCTTGAATGGTTCAGATCCTACCTCTCACAGCACTTTGTCTCTACAAACAACTTCTCCTCCAGCCCTGCACTGTCTCATGCAATGTTTCTCAGAGCTCTGTCCTTGGTCCTTTCCTCTTCAACCTGTACATGCTCCGTCTTGGTAACATGATCTGTAGATACCGGGTCAAGTTCCACATGTATGCAGATGCAACCAACTCTTATCTCCCTGCCTCCACCCTCAACTCCAGGATCATTGCTGTCTTGACAGAATGTCTGTCAGACATCAAGTCCTGGATGAGAGCTAACTTTCTACAATTGAACATCAACAAGACCGAGGCTCTCCTGATTGGCTCCTGTCAGCGCCTCCACACCTCAGGCACTGACAGCATCACCATCCATGGGTGCACACTCCACCTTACAAAGCCAGTCCAAAACGTAGTCGTCTTGTTTGATCCTAAACCATCCTTTCTCCCACACAGCCGTACCATAATAATATAAAAATAATCCTTGCATTTGATATAGCGCTTTTCACGTCTTCTAGACGTCCCAAAGCGCTTCACAGAATATACTGTAAAGTGAATTGACTGTATATTTGTGGGCAAACGCGGCAGCCAATTGCGCACAGTAGTGTCCCACAAACAGTCATGGATTGAAAATGACCAATTTATGATTGTTTTTGTTTTGGAGGGATTATTATCAGGCGTGTGGAGTAAGGAAACTTGCCCAAGGTTTCGCCCTGACCTGCCTGGAATTGAACTCAGGTCTCTCGCTTGCAAGGCGAGTGCTCTAAATACTGAGCTACAGGACTCCACCATGACCCGCTCTGCCTTCCCCCACCTCCGCAACATTGCCCGGCTCTACCAATGCCTCACTCTTCAGGCTGCAGAAACCCTCATTCACGTGTTCATCACATCTATGTCAACCTTCATGGTTCTGTCCTTGAATGGTTCAGATCCTACCTCTCATAGCACTTTATCTCCACAAACAACTTCTCCTCCAGCCCCGCACTGTCGCATGCAGTGTTCCTCAGGGCTCTGTCCTTGGTCGACTATGCTCCGACCTCTCGACTATGCCAACTCCCTGCTTGTCAGCCTTCCCACCTCTTCACTCCACAAGCTGCAGATCATCCATGATCGTGTCCTCTCCCACACCAGCTCTGTGACCCTATCACCCCCACCCTCGCAGGGTTCCACTGGCTCCCCATCCCTCAGAGAAATGTATTGTGTATCGTATTATCTTTCGTTCTTGTTTTTCTTGCTCTTGGCCCCTAACAACTGTCTGTGATTATGCAAGACATGTCTCTCCGGGGAGTGTACATTCCATACCAAACAATTCTCCCTCTTGGATGTTTGATATCCTTTTACTTCCCTGTACATTTAACTGTGAAAATAGACTTGGGGAGCGGAGTGGGGAATGGGTCTGACTTACAGAGGGGTTCCATTTGCTCCTTAAATATCGCAGTGTAAACTATCACCCACCAGATTTCAGCACATCCCTCCATGTAAGTGGTTTCCAGATCCGAGTGTCAGCCATTTTAGTGGCCTTCGAAAGGAGGCGATTTTTTTATTGTAAAATTGTTATGTAAATTTCTGTAGATTTTGTTTTGTAAATTTTAGGCCTTATAGTGTGCTCTCAGCACTTTTTGGATTGAATATTTATTTCCCAGATCTACCAGGGGTGGGGGTGAGCATCCACAGGCAACAATTATATCTTTACCGATTGGGCAAGGTAGGCTCGAAGTCTCCATGGTGCTTGGTAAACATGAGCTAAATGGAGGGTGGGCAAGGGTTTGCTGCCTGCTTTATTATTACTGGTGATAATTATTATATCATCCAATTGTCTTACAAAATAATAATAATCCTTATATTTGATATTGCATATGTAACATCATAACTTCTCAGACAGCTTCCCAGTATTTTGCGGGGGAACTGCAATTTGCACATAACCATCATTCCACAAGGTGCCATGAAGTGAGCGGCCAATTTTATTTGGGGGATTGTTGGCTGAGACACCAGGAAAAACTTCCCTCTTAAGGCAATTTCCTTCTCTTTTCGAATTGTGCCTTTAACGCTCACCTGAACGGACAGACGGGATCTTGGCTTAATGTCTCATCTGAAGGACGGCACCTCCGTACCCTTCTCATTTTCCTATTCCAAAACAAATGGGAGTTTATCTCAGTATCTTGGCCAACAATCCCCCAGATAAAATTGGTCACTATCTTCATGGTTGTTTGTGGGACATTGCTGTGTGCAAATTTTGCTGCCACGTTCACCTCCAAAATACACAGTCACTAGGACTTCAGAGTAAATTCTGGGAAGTGCTTTGAGACATCCTCCCAATATGAAATGAGTTTTGATTTGTCATTGAAACCATAAAGACTGGAAGTGCACAGCCTGAGACAGAGAGAGATTTGTTATGGTTTTAGGCGTGACTCTTCATTGGCCATAACCCAATTGCAGGGAGTTAAAGGTGAATCACAAGCATCAGGTGATCAGTAAATAGTTTACCAGGTCTCAGCAAATGTTTGCGTTTCCTTATTTTCTGAACCTTGTCCAATGCTTCAAACTCAAGACTCCCCATTTTCGAGTTAAAAGAATTCCAATTTTCCTTTGTTCAACAACCATCACACACATACACCCTCCCGCGAGGAGGAGTGGGAGGAGGAGGCAACATGGAAGGCAGCAGAACGACAGCAGTCCAGTCCTGGCATTCCTTCATCAATTCCCTGAGTCCCAACAGTGTACAGCGGACGGTAAAGGTGGTCAGTGGAGTGTATTTACAAGGTAAATAATATTATTATTTAATATTATTATTATAAGGTAACATCAATGTGCAAAGATTTCCCATTTCCAGCTGCGCAGTGTAATATATGTGTGTTTTGTCTCTCTGTATTTTGCATACATGAGGGGGAAGGGAATCAAGGGGAATGGAAGAGGGGATTTGGGGTGTTGGAGGCTCGTGTGGACTATAAACACTGATTAGTTGGCACAGACTGCTTAAGTCGAATGCTGTGTTGCTATGCTGTACAGTCTGTGTAATTCCATATCTGTCCTGAAGATACTGGGCTGCAATTTCAAAATGCCTTGCCCAAGCAGGCAAATCCTGTGTATTTGAGGGCAAATTCAGCAGCCGCTTTGCGAAGCACAATATCACACAAACAGCCAAGAAGTAAATGACCAATTTTTACTCTGGGGGATGGTCAGCCAGGAGACTGGGAGAAAGAAACTCCAATTCAAAATCCCATCTCGAACGTCCACCTGAACATATAGACGGGACAACAACAATTGCATTTATATAGCGCCTTTCATGCGGGGGAGCATCTTGGAGCGCTTAATGGTGGCAGAGCCTGACATCGAGCCGGCGGGAGGAGGTGACCGTAAGCATGGTCAAAGTGGAGGATCTTTAGGCATGATCTGAAAAAAGGGAAGGAGGGGGCAAAGCAGAGGGATTGAAGCAGTTCAAAGTTTTGGGGCATAGTGGCTGAAAGCACGGCCGCCAATGGTGGAGCGGAGGGGACAAGCGACAAGCAGGAGGCCAGAGCCAGCTGAGTGGAGGAGTTGCGTGGTGGAATTAGGAATAGACAGGTTGGCGAATAGGGAAGTGCTAGGGCGTGAAATGATTTGTAGATGTGTGTGACGATCTTGAAGTCGATTTATTCTGCCATTGGAGCCTGGCGAAAACTGATGTGATGGGCGTACAGAGATTATAGTGGGTGAGAATACGTGCATCGGAGTTTTGGATCAGTAGGATTTTGTAGGTAGTGGAGCTGGGGAGACTGGTGAGTAGGGCTTTGGAATAATTGGAATAATTGAGGCCGGAGGTGACAACAACAACAACAACAACAACAAGATTCCATTTATAAAGCGCCTTTCACGTCAGGAGGACGTCCCAAGGCGCTGCACAGTTGGGTCGGTATGGAATCGGTATGGGTCTTGACTGCATTTGGTATGAGGTACGGTCAGAGGCGGGCAATGTGACAGCGGTGGAGGAAAGCAACAACAACAACAACTTGGATTTATATAGCGCCCTCCACGCCGGACGGCGTCTCAGAGCGCTTTACAGTAACGGATCCCGGGACCGAGCCAGGGGGAGGGGGAGGAAGGTGACCAAAGGCGCGGTCAAAAAGAAAGGTCTTCAGCGGAGACCTGAAAATGGGAAGGGAGGGAACGAGATGAAGGGAGTGAGGAAGGCAGTTCCAGAGCCTCGGGGCATAGTGGCTGAAGGCACGGCTGCCAAGGGTGGAGCGGAGGACTCGGGGGACAAGGAGGAGGCCAGACCCGGAGGAACAAAGGCAACGGGTACTGTTTTGAGGAGAGAGGAGGTCAGAGAGGTAGGGGGTGCAGAGGAGTGCAGGGACTTGAATACAAGGGTGAGGATCTTGAAATCGATCCTCTCTGGGATAGGCAGCCAGTGCAGTCTGGCAAGGACTGGGGTGATCGGGGAGCGGAGTTTCGTGCGGGTGAGAATGCGGGCGGCAGAGTTTTGAATGATTTGGATTTTATGAATGGTAGTGGATGGAAGACCGGTGAGGAGGGCATTAGAGTAGTCCAGCTGAGAGGTGACAAAGGCATGGACCAGGGTTTCAGCGGCTTTTGGAGAGAGGTATTGGTGGAAACAGGCGATGCGTCGGAGGTGATAGAAGGCGGTGCTGGTGAGGGACTGGATGTGGGGGAGGAAGGATAATTGGGGGTCGAACCTGACGCCTAGGTTGCGTATGGGTTCGGAGAGTTTTAGGGGGAGGTTGGGTAGGTGGAGGAGGTGAAAGATGTGAAATTTTAGACGTTGACGAGAGCCAAAGAGTGTGGCTTCCATCTTGTCAATGTTCAGCTGAAGGAAGTTTGCCCTCATCCAGCCCCTGAGGTCTGACAGGCAGGCTGACAGATCATCAGGGGACTGGGGGTCGCAAAGAAAGGTGGAAAAATAGAGTTGGGTGTCGTTCGCATACATGTGGAAATGTACCCCATGTCTATGGAAGACATCCCCAAGAGGGAGGATGTAGATCAGAAAGAGGAGGGGGCCAAGGATGGATCCTCAGGATAACCCGCAGGTGACCGGGTGAGAGCGGGAGGAGAAGCTGTTTGTGCAGATGTACTGCTGGCGGTTTGTGAGGTAGGACTCGAACCAGGCGAGTGCGGTCCCACTGAGGTGGATGACGGAGGAAAGGCGGTGGAGGAGAATGGCCTGATCGACTGTGTTGAACACCGCGGAGAGGTCCAGGAGGACAAAGAGGCAGAGGGAGCCCTGGTCACAGATAGAGAGGATGTCGTTTGTGACTTTCACAAGTGCAGTCTCTGTCCTGTGGGCAGGGCGGAAACCGGACTGGAGGGGTTCGAAGACGGAGTCGGAGGAGAGGTGTGCGTGAAGTTGATTGGCAACGATGCGTTCTAGAACTTTTGAGAGGAAGGGCAGATTAGATATAGGGTGATAGTGGCTGGGGTTTGAGGGATCTAAGGAGGTTTTTTCAGGAGGGGGGTGATGGCAGCAGTTTTGAGGGAGGCAGGGACTGATCCGGAGGAGAGGGATTGGTTGATGACGTCAGCCAGTAGTGAGCAGAGGAGGGGGTGCTGGGTGACCAGCAAGTTGGTGGGAAGGGGGTCGAGGCAGCAGGTGGTGGGTTTCATGGAGGAGATGGTGGGTGAGAGGGATGAGGGAGAGATGGGGAGGAAGGAATGTAGGATGGGGGAGGTGGTAGTAGCATATGATGGAGAGGGTGAGGGGGACAGAGAGGGCGTGGTGGTGGGTGACAAGGTACAGGTGGATGAGGCTGCCTGGCGGATGTTAAGTATTTTAGATGAAAATAAGTCCATGACCTCCTCGTACTTGGCATTTGATACGAAGATTGAGGAGGCCTGAGGGGGGCCACGGAGGAGGTAGTGGGTGGTGGAAAAAAGGATTTTTGGGTTGTGTTTAGCCTCCAAGATGATGTTGGAGTAGAAGGCCGTTTTTACACAAGTCAAAGAACGGTGGTAGCTGTGTCGATGCTCGAGCCACAGTTGGCGGTGAACTGTCAGGCCAGTTTTCCGTCATCTGCGCTCGAGCAAACAGGTTTGGGTTTTTTGGTGGCGGAGATTGCTGTTGTACCAGGGGATCGGGTGGGTTTGCAGATGGTCCTAGATTTCAGGGGCACGAGGGAGTGAAGGTGGAGGAGAGGCGATCGTGGAGCAACTGGATGGCTGCTTCAGGATCTCCGCGGGTGGAAGGCCAGAGGGATAAGATGTTTGATGATGAGAGGGTCTTTGTGAGGGTCTCAGGGGGTAGCCTTTTCCAAGGGCGGTAGAGGATGGTTGAGGGCTTGGTGGAGGAGAGAGGGATGTGAGAGGAGAAGGAGATGAAAAAGTGGTCCGAGATGGCCTTGTCCACTATGCTGAGGTCGGAAATGTCAAGGCCATGGTTGATGATGAGGTCAAATGCATTACCGCGGTTGTGGGTGGGTGCATTTATATGGAGGGTAAGGTTTAGGGAGGAGAGGAGGGCAGAAGTGGTGCAGGGGGAGTTTAGGTGGAGGTTGAAATCGCCCATTATGAGCAGACGCTCGGAGCAGAGGGACAGGGAAGAGAGGAGAGTAGAGATGTCTGTGTGGAAGGAGCCGGGGGGTTTGGGGGGGGCGGTAGACAAGGAGGATTTTCAATGGGAGAGAAGGGTGGAAGAGGTTGAGGTGCTTGAAGGAGGGGAAGCAGCCAGATGAGTAGGGGATGAGACCAAGAGAGGCTTTGGAAATGAGGGCCACTCCGCCGCCACGTTGGTTTGGACGGGGGGTGTGGTGGTAGGTGTAGCCTGTAGGGGAGGCTTCCACTAAGGGTACAGGGTCATTGGGGGAGACCCAGGCATCAGCCCTCAGGCTTAGCCTCCCAGGTCATGGCCGAGTGGCAGTGGCTGCCAGGCCATTGTTGTTGTTGTTGTTGCTGGTTTTTTTTACTAACTGTGACGTCACGCTGACGTCACTTTGTGAAACGCGCCCGCCCCACCCCCTCACTTACCTCAGCTCCTACCTCCGCTCCCGACTGAGTGGCTCCTCACCTCCTCATGGCTAGGCCTCGGCTCCGCCCTGCGCTCTCCTACCTTAGAAGATATACTACAACCTTATACCTACTTCCCCCTCTGCACCTAATTCCCACTCTCACCTAATTCCTTTTCACTCTGGCCTCACCTCACTCCAAACGTAGCTCACTCTGGGCCCTCTGCTCGAGCAATCCTGGTTAGGGACCAAATGTGGGGAGGAAGAACAGCTGTGGATCGAACCTGACACCTAGATTATGTACAGGTTCAGTAAGTCTTACGGAAAGGCCGGGGAGGCTGAGGAGGTCAGAGCTGCAGGAAAGAAGACGGGAGCCAAGGAGTATGGCTTCCATCTTGTCAATATTCAGCTGCAAGAAGTTTGCACTCATCCAGGCCTTGATTTCTGACAAACAAGCTGACTGAACATCAGCTGGACAGGACCTGGAATCATAGCTGGAGGAGGATAAGTAGATTTGGGTGTCATCCACATACATATGAAAGTTTACCCCATGTCTGCAGATGACATTGCCGAGAGGGAGCCTGTAGATGAAGAGGGCCAAGGCTGGAGCTTCAGGAACATCAGTTTAATGTCTCATCCAAAGGACGGCATAACCATTTTGATCTGGAGAATTGATGGCTAGGACATCGGGAAAAACTCACTTCTCGTTTCAAATAGTGTTACAGGATCTTTAAAATCCCCTGAACAGACAGACAGGACATCGGTTTAAGGTCTCATTATGAAAGACAGCACTTCCAACAAAGTCCTGACATGGACTTGAACCCACAACCTTCTGACTCAGTGGCAAGAGTGCTACCAACTGAGCCAGATTGACACACACCAGGGTTAAACCGATTCCAAGGTGACTTGGAGATGTAGATATACCCCCAACCTGGAACCCAAATTCTTAACAGGTAGGTCCAAGCTGGGCTGCAGTTGCTAACTTTTTAATTACTGTGTTACTGTCCACAGGATCCTTGTATAAGCTGTCCTTTTCTGAAGGCGATGTTATAAAGATTATAGATGTGATTCCAACTGAACTCAAAGCAATTATGTTGCAAAGGGATACCAAGGAAGAGAGAGTGTTGGACTTGCCACTTTTCTATGAAGGTAAGTGGCTTGTCAGCTCACGTTAAGACTTACCTCTTCGGTCGCACCTATGGCCTACTATGATGCGCTCGAGACGCTATGCTGCATGAAGTGTGCTACATAAAGGGAAACCGTTGTTGTTTGAAATGGTCAGGGCCTGAAAAATGCAGCCAGGGGGCCCTGAAATTCCATCCACCCCTAGTTGAGACCATTATTTTTTTTGCTTAAAATGTAAGATGGCGTGGGATGGAGAATCAGTGGAGCCGGGAGAGGGTGGGGTTGATGGGATCACGGAGCCTTGGGCGGGAAAGGACACAAGCTGCAGAGTTCTGGATGATCTTTAGCTTGTGGAGGGAAAGAGTTAGGAAGGCCAACAAGTAGCACTCAAAGCGTCTCAAAAGATGTACTGTAAAGTGAATTGACTGTATATTTTTTGGGAGAAGGTAGTCGTGGAAAGGGTACCTGCCTCTTCTTAACTTTCACCTTGACAAAAAAATAAAGCTCACTACAGACAGTGAAGAGCGAGCCTGGTTACACTGTGCACGGAAGCTATCGTGTGGAGTTGTCAGGTCACAGTGACAAGGAAGTGCCAAGTCACTGCTGGAATTTTCTCCATTATCTCAGCTGCTGGTGCCTTCAACCTCTATGACCAGAGAGACAGAGGCTGCTCGCTTCCAAATTAACCTTCCAGGACACTGGCGAGATTGATTGAACTGTCCAAGAAAAACAGTGTCAGCAGATTCTTCGCCAATACTTGGCGGTCAACTAGACGTTACAGCTGCAGGCGTGTATTGGAAGTAATAATAATAATAATCCTCACATTTGATATATCGCTTTGTCAACATTGAGACGTCTCAAAACGCTTCTCAGAATATATGGTTAAGTGGATTGACTGTATTTTGTGGGCGAAACGAGACAACCATTTGCAGAAGTAGTGTTCCAAAAACAGTTATGGATTGAGTGACCACATTTCTTTTGAGGTTTGGGGGGAGGGATTATTACCCCTGGTAAATTTTTAAATTCAGTCTCGATTTGGGATTCTTTTTCTCATTACAACAAAAAACATTTGCCAATCGACTAAGTGGGAATTCACTGTAAGGAAATAGAAAGTTCTTTCAGTGACTGTTTGCACATGCAAGTCATATGTAAAATCGTTAACATTAAAGGAGACACGGCCAGTAGTTTAGCAGAATGAGATAATCCCAACCAAAACATTTCCTGCGCTGTGTTGTCTTTGAGGGAGTTTGCATCACACTGAGTCATTTCCCCACAGAGCAGGTTTTGACAAATCTGATCAGCGGGACAGTGCACAGAACAGCTGTTTCACAGGCTTCAAAGCTCCTGTAATAGAAGCACACACACCAGTGTCTTTCTGCTCCGTAACAGTCAGAGGCCTACCTGACATTCAAAATCCTTTTCAAAGACATTTTCCTCACTCGCTGCTGAAGCCCGAGACCGCAAGTTCTCAGATTTAACATTATACAGTACTTTGGGAAAGTCTTAAATTCTGGTGTTAATTTATTTCCAAGAATTGCTTAAAACCAATTCTCAAAGTATGACCTTTTAACATAAGAATTTCAAATTGAGACAGAATTTAAGAACTTTCCACAATTTAACAACAGCCATTAACATTTGTATAGTGCCTTTTGCTTCAGGAGGATGGCCTAAGGCACTGGGCAGTCAGAGATCCACACCTAAGATGGTGGCTGGGATCAGGAGGGGTGGAGGGAGGGTAGGTGTGGGAGAGTGACCGAAGGCACAGTCGAAGAGGATGGTCTTGACACAGGTCTTCAAGGAGACAAGGGAGGGTCGAGGCAAATGGACTGTGGGATGGAGTTCCAGAAGGTTGGAGCAGAGAGGCTGAAGGCCTATCCACCAATGGTGGGGTCGGCAAAGTGGGGGAGATGAAGCAGGCCTGAGCCCACTGAGCAGAGGGAGCGAACAGGTTGGAACGAGGTTAGGAGGTCACAGAGGTAGGAAGAAGCAAGGCCATGGAGGGCTTTGATGGTGAGGACCAGGATCTTGAACTGTATCCTCAGAGTGTTTGGGAGCCAGTGGAACCGGGAGAGGGTGAGGGAAAATGTAAGACCTTTTCACATAAATGTGACTTCCCCCCAAGAATTGCGTAAAACCGACTTTGACCTCAATGTTACTTTTCGGTTCACTGTGGTAACTGTTCTCACTGACCCTCAGTACAAATCCCACCCGTCTGGGCCAATGAGACCATTCGTATTAAAATTTAAGATCTTCGAAGATTTGGTTTAAAAAAAAATCTTCAATTCAGGATTAATGTTTTTTTGTTGCGACAAGAAAAAGAATTCCAAATCGAGATTGAATTAAAAAATTTACCATAATTCCGCCCTTGAACGTTAGACTTTAAGGGTCTTAACAGGCTAAGATTAGGTGGAATTTCAGGCCTGCACCGTTTGCATATAATTGTGGTCGTGCTTCCCTGTCATGGAACTCTGCACATCAGGGCAACCCGGAACTGTAGAGGGTCTTCTCTTTGTGTCCTTGTTACACAGAGTGCAAAGTGTTGACTGACTTAGTGGTGAGGATGGTTCAGAAACCACAAGCATGGCACTAATACTGATCCATGCAGACAAAGTGAGTGATCACCCAGGGAGATCATAAAGAATAATTAGATCCGCACTCCGTGATGCGTTCCACATTAAGAGCAGAGGGAAGCGAGGCTGCTTTCACATGAGCATATTTCTCAGGCTGATTTTCACATACAACGAAATTCACCCTGCGAGGTCATTTTACCTTACGATGAAACATCGCGTACAATACTGAGAGGAGAATTCTCAAATTCAGTCTTAATTCACAAATCGGTTTTCCACTGTCCGCCTTCCAAATTAAGACGGAATTTAAATTTTCCATAGTTCTCCATAATCTTAAATTCTGAGACAAACATTACACTCTAGTCTTAGGGCTGAGTAAAATTTCAGGGTCAATGTGTCCTCATGATTAGTTTTATCTGTGGAATTTCCTTGGCCAGGACACTGATAGAAACTTCCTCAACCTTGTAGGTTAATGACTCAGCTGCTAACAGCCTCCATTAGGAACTTATCTCTTCACCTAATGTTCATTCCAGCTCAATTGACTCATACAGTACAACCTCAGAAGATCGAGTTTAAGATCCATCTCCAGGTCTTCAAATCAGTTAACCCAGATGAAATTGATCACTCACTCCATGGCTGTTTGTGGGATATTGCTGTGCACAAATTGGCTGCTGCGTTCGCCAACAAAATAAAATTTAAAATAAAATCCACAGTAAATCCATGTGAAAGTGCTTTGCAAAATTGACGGCGTGATAAGGTGCTTTATCAAATGTAAGGATTATTATCGTATCGTAAATTAGACCTCAATGACATTGGAACCATGTGTCTCAGTTTACTGCAACTAATCTCTTCTGTTTGCACGCTTCTCGATCTAGACAAGTGTTTGTTAGGAGGTTGAATTCCATCAGGTACCCCCAAAGTACACTCTAGAGTCTCCAAGCCTTGGTACTTGCCAACCTACGTCTAAGACTTTCAGCGATAATATGAGCAGGGAGGGTGTGTCCCTCTGGGGAGGAGTGTGGGCATGCTGCCTTCCAGACAAAGGGAAATGTCCGTGTTATGTAGAATTTCAGTAGTTTGGTTTGGACGCTCTTACAACAGGTTTCCGGTTATGTTCGACCACCGGCTGGCCTGTCAGGGAAAAATTGATCGTGACAAGCCGAACTTTATTTTTTTAAAAAAAGCGTGTCTCATTTTATTTGTGATGAAAGAACTTTGGTGTCTGAGGAGATAGGCTGTAACAGCACCGACCCATCTAAGTCACTCGGGTTCTGGTCTACCTGCGGCTCTTGCCTACAGACAGTGAGCAGGGAGCTGGTGCATGAGCAGAAAGCTAATTCTTTAAGACAGCCTTCATTTTCAAGCCAAGTTTCCCCACCCTGCTCGTAAGTTTATTTTTAAAGAGCAGCAGAGAAAAAAACAGCTTCACGGTTATGACTGAATTTTGCCAAATCTCTGGATTCCCTGAACTGCTACATTAACAAAGTTTCTCCCCTTGGAATTCCCTACCAAGTAAAGTGTCAGCCTGGTGCAGTGTCCCTCACTCTCACCTCTGTTGTGGGTTCAAGCCCCAGGTCAGGACTTGGAATCACAGTCTCGGTTCACACTACAATGCAGCGTTTGGGGTGCATTCCATTGTCGGAGGTGCTGTACTTCTGATGAGACGTTACACTGAGGTCCCATCTGCCGGTTCATGTCACTATTCGAAAACAGAAGGAAGTTTCTCCTGGTGTCCTGGCTAACAATCCCCCGAAATAATTGATCACTTACTTTTGGGGTGTTTGTGTGATCTTGCTGTATGCAACTGGCTGCCATGTTTTGCCCACAAAATATGCAGTCAATCCACTTTACAGTATAATAATAATCCTTGCATTTGATATAGCCCTAATCACACCTTTGAGTATCAAAGCCCTTCACAGAATATCCTGTGTTAAGTCGCTACCTCAAATGCAAGGAATATTATTTTTTTGAAATCAAATGGATAATGTTTTTTTGGAAGCAATTTAGACATGTGTTTAAAAAGGAAGTACAAAAGGGGGGGGTTGTGGAGGGGGGGGGGGGGGCTGGGTGGAGGAGGGGCAGGAAAGAGAAGGGGATTGGAGTGAATGGATCGTTCTCTCAGAGCCAGCACAGGTACAATGGGCATTTTACATTTAAACAACGCCTTTCACATCAAGACGGATGTCCCAGAGTGCTTAACAGAGCTGACTGGGAGCCTGATCTTGTGGGGGAGGGGGGGATAGGAAAGGTAACCAAAAGCACGATTTAAAAGTAGAGTCTAAAGAGGTAGGCTTCAAAGGTGGTTTAGGAGGGGGGGCGAGTCAGAGGGACTCTAGAGTTCCGGAGAACAGGGGTAGAGTGGCTGAAAGCCTGTCCACAGAGGGAGCGGTCGGAGTGGTGGAGGGGAGATGGTTGGGAAGCAGGAGGTTGTAGAGATAGGTTAGGGATGAGGCCTTGGAAGGATTATAAGGGGATGAGAATCCTGCATTTGATGCACTGGGGGATGGGGAGGCAGCGGAGCTGAGGGAGGGTTGGGGTGAGCTCTTCGCAGAAGAGAAGGTGGAGAGCTCTGGGCAGAGAGAAGAGCAATGAGAGATTAAAGGTGTAGAACAAAAATGGCAGTCAAAGAGGCAGGTTTTGAAAAGGGTTTGTTAAAGCCGGGGGAGAAAGGAGATTGGGAGAGTACAACAGAGACTGGACTGGAGGAGTGAAACTTGCTCATCAATGGTATTATAACTAAGAAACAATTGGATATTTACTTGAAAAAAATTGCAAGAGCAGGGAAGTGGGACTAATTGGATAGCTCTTTCAAAGAGACTGAATGGCTTCCTTCTGTTTTGTAGGATTCTATGATTCTGGACAGTTGAGTCCAGCTCAGTGTCTCTTAGATAAGACAATCTAGATAAAATCAGTCACCGGCCTCAAGCTGTTTGTGGAGGGATTTTTTGGTGTTGGTAAACCCAATGCAAAAGGGCTCCATCGGAAGCCATTCTGACATACAAGCAGGTCATTGATACAAGCCCAGCCCATGGGAGAATGAGGGGTTAAAGAATGGGAACAAGCAATGAAGAAATTGGGAAACATTGCAAAGCGCTGGCTGACTGTCGGTTAAACAAAAGCTGACATTTTTTGGCAAACCCCAGAATCGATCGATTCATGTCGAATGGCCCCTCATGTCAGGAACTTATCTCAGTTCTGCAGCGTTGATTGTCCTTTGTTCTTTATTTACATTTTTTTGCATTATTCAAGAATACACGTATTGTATGAATTGCATTGCATCCGCGTGTTAAGTGGTCTGTTCACCTTGAACTGGGATCCCATCTGCCTTATCAAGTGGACTTTAAAGATCCTGTGGAACTATTTGGAAGTTTCACCTGATCGGTGTCCTGGCCAAGAATTCCCCCACATAAAATGTCTGGATATCTTAACTAAACACCGAGCTCCCAATGAGACTAGGGAACTTGTACCAGTCCCCAAGACCAGAAGCTTGGGATCTTGTTTGACCCTCAACTATCCTTTCTATCATCTGTACCATGACTCGGTCTGCCTTCCCCCACCACCACAACGTCGCTCGCCTCCGCCACTGTCTCACACCGCAGGCTGTCGAAACTCTCATACATGCTTTCATTATACCGAGGCTCGACTATGAAAACTCATTGCTTGTCGGCCTCCCCAACTCCTCCCTCCATAGGCTGCAAATCATCATCCAGAACTCTGCATCCTCTCCCACACTAGGCTCCACGACCATATCACCCACATCCTTGCCCAACTCCACTGGCTTCCCACCACAGAGGATACAGTTCAAGATTCTGGTCCTCACCTTCAAAGCCCTCTATGGTCTTGCTCCCCCCTACCTCTGCAACCTCCTAACCCCCTCCTATCCTGCTCGATCCCTCCACTCAGCGGGCTCCGGCCTGCTTCACATCCCCCGCCTCACTCGCCCCACTATTGATGGGCAGGCCTTCTGCCACTCCCCCCCCCCCCCCCCCACCATCTGGAACTCCATCCCGTAGTTCCTCCGCCTCGCCCCCTCCTTTGCCACTTTCAAGACCCATCTCAAGACCCTCCTCTTCGACCGTGCTTTCTATCTCCCTACTTCCCCCCTTTCCCTCCATCCTCCCTGACCCCAACCCCCAGCTTGGGTCCGTAACTCTGTCTATCTAGCACCTTGGGACCTCCTCCCAACGTGAAAGGTGCTTTACAAGCGTAATTTTGTCGCCGTTGTTGCTGTTGTAGCATTCACTGTGTTTGTGGTTCCTGGGAATTTCACCCCATGTAATTCAGTGTCCAGTCAGCTGATGTGCTGATAAGATCTATTTTAATCTGCCTCCCACTGGGTTATTTCAAATTTGCTTCATGACCTCTGATAAGTGTATTGTGTAACACGGCACTTTCTCTGTACCTTTTACAAGTGCACTGTTAACAAAGACTTCACTGTTTCCAAAGCAACCTGGACACACAGAATACTCCCAGAGCTGTCTCTCGACTGCAATACTTTGGCACCACCTGCTGAAAATCTGCTTCCTTGCACTGTTCTGTACACACAACTACATAACCCTTATCTTATCTTATCCACGTGCCTGATAATAACCCCTCAAAAAAAAATTGGTCATTTCAATCCACGACTGTTTGTGGGACACTGCTGTGCGCTATTGGCTGGCGCATTTCGCCCACAAATATACAGTCAATTCAATTTACAGTCTATTCTGTGAAGCACTTTGAGACGTTCTAGAAGATGTGAACAGCACTATATCAAATGCAAGGATTATTATTATTATTATTATTATTATCACCTTTATACTAATAAAGACAAAATGTCTGTCAGTCCACCAATAATGCAATAACCGATTGAGGTAGAGACATGATTTATACATCAACAGAGAGGTCTTGATGGGGGAGTGTCATGGGTATACCTTTTCGGGGGGTGGGGGGGGGAATCTATCGTTCATGAGCTTTGACATAAACAAGCTCATTACATATGTATGGCAGTCTTGCTAAAGGTGTACACACACTGTTTATGGCATGTTAAATGGTTTGCGAGTGGTATCACTGAAATCTACATTCCATATTGGATCCTTTGGTTGCAGGCGTAGCTGCAATGGTTACAGCTAGTTTGTAATAATAATAATAATCCTTGCTTTTGATCTAGTTAGCACCTTATGACATCACTGAGACGTCTTCACAGTATTTCAAAGCACGTTACAGAATATATTGTAGTGGATTGACTGTGTATTTTGAGATTGACTGCTTGCATTTGATATACACGGGGAAGCTTTACTGTCACGTGTTAATGTAGTGACTGTGTATTTGTAGACAAACATATCAGATAATCTGTGCATGGTAAGGTCCCACAAACAAGTGGAAACATGAAACGTAAAGTTAATTACCTATTTTATTTGGGGGAATTCTTGGCGAGGACACTGATTGGGTGAAACTTCCTTCTCTTTCCAAATAGTTCCACGGGATCTTTAAAGTCCACTTGATTAGGCAGATGGGACCCCATTTCAAGGTCAACGGAATTCACTTAGCACGTAGATACAATGCAATTCATACAATACAATTTATATTGTAGTGTTGGGAAAACGCCTCAAACGCTTTATACAGAAGAGGGGAGAGAGAGTGAGAGGAGGGGAGCTGGAATTGGTGTGCAGAAGATGACCAAATCTGTGGTCAAAGAGGAAAGCTTTTATGTGGGAGGGAGGGAGGGAGGGAGGGAAGGGAAGGAAGGAAGCAGTTGTCTGTTATGTGTCTGGGTTTTCTCTAGGGGATTTCCTGTTGGTGCCGGAGCCCGATGTGTACGAGACGGTGGCCAGCCTCCTGCACAGCAACAGGATTGGCCCCGAGAGGGAGGGGCAGCCCAGGTTCCAGAACAACATCAACATCGTGCTGGACAACGGCACCGTGATCATGCGAGGAGAGAAGCTGGCCCTGCTGGGCATCGAGGAGGTGGGCGGCGTGAAGGGGCTCAGGTGCAAGCTGCTGAAGAGAAAGGCCAACTCGATGGTCTGGCTCCCAGTGACCTGCAGGGGTTTGTTCCAGGAATGCCACGACGACCATTACTATACCATCAGCCAGATCGTCAAGTGGAAAATACCAGCCGGACGCAGGCGTAACGTGAAGCCTGTGGTGGGCACTCCAACCAGATCCACGGGCTTTTCCATCCTTCCCCACAATTTCACTGGCCAACTTCAGCTATTGCCCTACTATTCCGTCAAGGCACTGATTGTAGGTCAGTGGTTGAGCTTCGGACAAATGTTGGAGGTTTTTTTTCTTTAACACCTTACAAAAAGGAATAAAAACAGAAGTCTCTGGGATCACTCAGCAGGTCAGGCAGCATCTATGGAGAGAGGTGCAACTCCATAGATGCTGCCTGACCTGCTGAGTGTTCCCAGCAACATTTGTTTTGATTTCAGTTTTTCAGCGTCTGCAGTATTTTGACTTAAGAAAGGAGCCACTTGAAATGTTTTTTTTGTTTGTTTTTTATTTTGATCTGACGAGAAGTAATAAAACCTCTCTCTGTCTCATGCTCTCACTCTCTCTTTCTATCTTTCTCCTTTTCTCTCTTTTGCTCTTTCTCTATCTTTTTGCTCGCTATTTATCTTCCTCTCTCTCTCTCACAGACTCTCCCTTTCACTCTCTCCTTTCTCTCTCTCTCTCGCGCACTTTCTCTGACCAGCCCCCAAAGAGGTTTTACCAAAAGATCTGGAAGTCCAGCCCACCCAATCAATGCAAACTTCTACTTTCTCCATATGGGCTTCCAAGTCGAATCTCACTCCCTGTTCGCTCCCTCATTGCCGCCAGTGGTTCCTCTTTTTCAACCATCTTTCCAATCCAGCACTGGGAACTCGCTTTGAGATGTGCTCCTGACGTGAAAGGCTCTGTATGAATGTAAACTGTTGGTATAATTGCCTTGTTTTCCCCAGGACGTCCTCCTGACATGAAAGACGATATACAAACGTAATTTGTTGTTGTTGTCTAGGAGGAGGTGAGCAGTTTCTGCCGGCAGACCTGGAACTGCAGGTGATGGATGTGACAGACTTGGTGGCTGATCAGCCTTTCCTCGTGCCCGTCTCACTGGAAACACTTTACCACCTGCCGAGCAACAGCTTCCCCGTCACCGTGAAGGTCATTGACGTGAAGGACAACTACGGTGGTCTGGCCAGGGGCTTCGAGGTGGGATCGTGCCTGACGATCCTGGGAAAGAAAGAGATGAAGAAGGTCCTGGTCACCGAACTTTCCAACAGTTTGGTCCGACAGCACTTTCTGGTCCCCCGGAGCTATGAAGGCCAGCTGCTGAGGATTCCCAGGACCTTCCAAACTGTCTATGACCTGGAGCTGGCCAGGATGGCAGGCGGAGTGGCCTGGGTGGTCGCCACCACGAGCTACAATCGTGACGCCGAGTGTCTGTCGTCGTTCGGCATCGGGGAGCAGTTCCGCGCTCTGCACCCGGCGACTGTCTTCACCCGGCTGGGGGTGGGGGGGCAGGCGGAGGTGAAGGTCCTGACATGCGAGAAGGCGGACTCGGCGGAAACAGTCAACCTGCCCATGTACGCCGAGGGCAAATTCATCGAGATATTAATGGACGGGGAGCGATACACGATGGAGGGCCTCCTGGCCCAGCACATGGCTCCCTTTCACGTGCGGGTGGTTACTGCGGACTTGGCCCTCACCGCCGACCCTCTGCCGGGCCTGAAAGAGCTGAGGGTGGACGGAGAGGTCCGGATGGAGTGTCTGGTGGCTCGGCGTCAAGAGGGTTTGGCCTTCGAGGTTCCTGTGGAACTGGTGACGGCACTGGTGGAGGTGGTGAACCAGGTGAGAACGTCCCCTCATCAGGCACAAGATCCCAGCCCGCAGTTTGTCCAGACTGTTTGGCTCCTGTCAGCTGAAGACTACCTGCGTTTGAGAGACTACGAAGACCTCTCTCCTCCACCTCCCCCGCGGCCACCCAAGCCCAAGAGCTGCAGTGCTGCTGGGGTCACAGGCCAGCTCGCTAAACCCCTCCTCACGTGCTCAAACACAAACACCAGCACTCCGAGTCCCGCTCTGAATCAGGTAATGTGAGAGTTAAGCCACCAATGTGGGGGGTTTTGTGGTGGGGGAATGGGTTAACCGGGTGTCTGATACATGCAGAAACCCATCACCATGCTTAAGAGTATCCAAACCAAGCTGAAATTTCAATGCATCCCACCTATACGTAGAAATCACAGGTAGATTTACAATGGAATGTGCACTCTCTCCCTGGAGGGACCCATCCTGCTTACCTAATTCCGGAAAGTAATAGGCGCAGATTGGCAAAAAACGAGGCTTGGGGACCCCAGAGTATGTGTTGGGGTAACTGCTGGAGTCTAACCAGCTAAAACTGCATCACTTGCCGTCGATAGCACTGTATGGCAAACTTTCCCGCTAGGACCACCCTACCTGTTAGGAGATTGGCTTGCAGGGTTAACAGGAGCTAAATGGCTGGATTACCTACCCCCGTTGACTGATCTGCGGCTCCAAGTCCTGCCAATGTGCCCGGCTGGCTGTGCTGTCATCAGTAGTGCCTTGGAGTACTGCAAACCTGCCTGGCTCAGGAACTGGATGGCTGAGACCATCGCAGAGGGCTGGCTTAATTCTGACATTACGTTGCCAAGCATATCACCTCGGAGCCAGTTCAGAGACTTTGGTTATTTTGGAAACAACACCTTGTAATATCCTGGATGTTCTCTTTTTCTTTTTTTTTCTTTTGCGTCTCTTCCGACTTTCACGACAATGGGACTTCACAAATACATGAAGCAAACAGAAAAATGATAACAGTAAAGATTTCCGAGATCTGTTTTCTTCTTGTAGTTTTCAGTTTGCAACTGCGAGGGGAGGTCACGTGGCCCGATTGAATCACTTTTACCATTTAGTGTTGCGTACAATCATAGGGTCATCTTAACTTCAATCTAAAGCAAAGCTGTAGGTTGTGCAAGGAAAAGCATACAGTTGAACCCCATCATGACTTTAGTATGTGATGGGATCTCCTTATAGCGCAGTCACACCAGCAGATGGCCAGCTTCCTGTCCACAACTCGGGGAAGGTCTCCTGGCATCTGGTGGTGTCTACGCAAACCCTGGAAACCCTCGGTAGAGTGGTTGCTTGCTTCCCGTGAGCAAGCACTGTACATAACGGAAATGACATCAGCAGTGACCTGAAGACCTGGAAGCTCTGACCAATGGCCATTTTTATAGCATGCCCTGATATAACCTGATTTCGGTTCTTATCCAGACCACCTCCCATGAGAACCTGTCCAGTTATTTAGCAAGGTCACTGAACAAGCTGGCATTTTTATCTTTCAGGAATGTGAAATCCTATCGAAATTAACTTTGGATGTCACAAACAATTCAAGGAACGTTTATCACAAGCCACCTGTATGAATGGAACGCTGCTTCAAGAAAACAAGAAGTAAAGCTTTCTTCCTAGATAATAAACCTTGAGGTTGACATTGCCATATTAATGCATCCTCCCAACATGAAAGGTGCTATACAAATGTAATTTGTTGTTTTTGATTCTCAAAGTACTTTACTAGACTAATATCTGGACTAACAGGTCTTAGAATCCTACAATCATAGAATATTACAGCACAAGGAGGACACTTGGCCCATCGTGTCTATGCTGGTTCTTTGGAAGAGCTCCTCAATCAGTCCCACTCCCCAGCCCTTTGCCCATATCCAAACCCCTCAGTGATGAGAGTTGGGTAGACCTCCTAGAGGTGTATACAATTTTAAATGGGATTGAAAAATAAACACAGAACAATATTTTCAGATAGTAGAACAAGAGGACATGGGTTTAGAGTTTCAAAGGGAAATGTCAAGACAGGTACTGTGATGTTTTGGTTTACACAGAGGGTAATTAACAACTGGAACAGGTTGCCAGGAAAGGTGGTTGGGGCCAGGTGTGACTGCGCTATAAGGAGATCCCATCAAATACTCAAGTCATGATGGGGTCATTTAAAAAGCAGCTTGATGTTGTGATGGAGGGACAGCAGGGTGGATGATTTGGAGAGATGAGATCAGATGGGCAGAAGGGCCTTCTTCATCCGAACCAATCGGGCGAGCTATATTTCTCCAAGGTGAGGAGGCTAAGGGGTGAATTGATTGAGGTATTTAAGATAATGAAAAGAATTGACAGGTTACATAGTGGACAACTCTACTCTCTGGTGAAAAGATCCATTACAAGGGGGAAGTAGCCTTAAAATCAGAGCCACGACAGTCAGAAATAAGCTCAGGTACCATTTCTTCACACGGATTGTAAAAATGTGGAATGCTCTATCCCAGAGAACTGTAGAATCTGTAGAACCCTGAGGTGGAATCAAAAGGCTCTATACAAATTAAATTTGAATTGTATTGTAATATGGAAGTTTAAAGAGATCGACAGATAATAATAATAATAAAGCTTGTTTTTCACACACCACTGTCATGGCAAAATATTTCAAAGCATTTCATGGATAGCTGTTAACAAATTTATATTTATGTAGTACCTTTCACATCAGGAGGAAGTCTGAAAATGCTTTACACAACTGACTTGAGAGCCTGAGCTGCAGGGCAGCTGAAGAGGGGAAGAGAAATCAGTCAGGGCTAGGTCTTAACGTGGGAGGAAGGGGCAGGGCAGCGAAACTCCAGGATAGAGTTAGAGTTATAATAATCCTTGCATTTGATATAACACCTTTTGTTGTCAGGAGGACATCTCAAAGTGGTTCACTGAAAAGTGCAGTGTCTGTTTACTTTGTAGGTGAGTTCTAGAGAACGGGGACAGAATAGCAGAATAGTTGAAAGTTGGCCAACTGATACGGGGCATGAAGCAGGCCAGTATTTGCCGTGCGGAGACAACGGCTGATGCAGAACGGACAGTGGAGGTCGCAGAAGTAGAGTTGGACGAGGCCATGGGAGCATTTGAAAGTGAGGATCAAATGCAAGTATTATTATTACTATTACTATTAATGTGAAGATGTGAAAGATGTAAGCCAGACATGAAAGGTGTTAGCTCGAAATTTGTGAATAAAGAATGACACCAATGAACAGGAAGAATGATCATGGATTTCAGAAGACTGACTCTGCAGCTACAGAGGGAGAAAAGACAAGAGTTGGTTTGATGCACTCTACCCCTCTCTCTCCTCAAAGAGGTTATAAATTTGAGAATTATTCACATGTGCCAGATTGCTCCAATGTCGGCCGATCTTGTAAAGCTAAATTTGCCAAGCGCAAACTGTAATCTTGACAATTGATTCTTACCATTGCTGTGCTCATCTGAATCCAGTTAACAGTGCTTCTGTAACATTGAGAGTGAGTTGTGTGATATTAAACCGAACCCAGCTAACGCTGAACTATAACTATAACCTTGGGGAAGTCCCCTTACCTGATAATAATCCCTCAAGAAAAAAAACAATAATAAATTGGTCACTTCATTCTATGACTGTTTGTGGGACACTGCTGTGCACTATTGGCTGCCGCATTTCACCCACAAATATAGTCAATTCACATTACAGTCTATTCTGTGAAGAGCTTTGAGACGTCTAGAAGACGTGAAAAGTGCTATATCAAATGCAAGAATTATTATTATTATAATCAAGTAACTGAGTTCATGATCACTTTGAGAAATGTATTATTCGTTGTAGCGAATAAATAGATGTAATAGCAACTTACATTTGTATAGCACCCTTCACTGGTGATGGTGATAGGAGGTAGGAACGATGGCTGTGGAAAGCGTACATTGGTGGTGGTGGTGTGGGGTTGATTATTATTATTATGGGGTCTACATTGAGGGGAGGTGGTGTCAGAGGGTATGTAGACTGGTTGTCCTCCAGCCATCCTCCCCTTCTGACCCCCAACACCCAGCTCAGGTCCAAAATGCCCGATTGTCCAGCTCCCTGAGAGATCTTTCCGATATGAAGGGTCCTATACAAGTGTAATTTGATGTTGTTGTCCTCTCCCGCACCAGGCTCCGTGACCCTGTCAACCCCATCATCGCCCGACTCCACTGGCTTCCCATCACACAGAGAATATAGTTCAAGATTCGGGTCTTCACCTTCAAAGCCCTCCATGGTCTTGTTCCCCCCTTACCTCTGTGACCCCCTAAGCCCCTACCATCCTGCCCGCTCCCTCTGCTCAGCGGGCTCCGGCCTGCTTCACGTCCCCCCCACCCTCACCCAACTTCCCTACCTCCACCCTCTGGAACTCCACCCCGCAGTCCCTCCGCCTCACCCCCTCCCTCGCCTCCTTCAAAACCCATCTCAAGACCTTCCTCCTCAACCGTGCTTTCAATCTCCCTGCTTCCCCTCCCCCCAACCCCCCCCCCCCACTCCCCTGCCCTCCACCCTCCCCGACGCCGACCCCCAGCTCGGGTCCCCAAGCTGTCGGTCCAGCGCCTCGGGATGTCCCCCCCCCCGACGTGAAAGGCGATAACACAGCGGTAATTTTGTCGTCGCTGCCGCTGTCGTGGGCACTTGGAACTGAATCCGATTGCGAGCGCTTCTCAATGGCACTGTCGGCGCTCCTTCCACCTGTCCGAAACACAATAATTTGGTGACTTCCGCCCGCGGCCGTTGGTTTGTGGGGCCGTCGCTGTGCGCCATCGGCTGCCGCGGTCCTCCCCACGGAAACACAGTCACTGCGCCTCGCGGCGTATCCCGTGAAGCGCTCCGAGGCGTCTCCGAAGACGTGATACGGCGCTGCATCGAACGCAAGGATTATTATTACGATTATTACTCTCGTTATGTTTCTGTTTGTGGGTCAGTGCACTGCGGGTGGAGGCGGGAAACGCACACGTGGGGGGAGTAACAGGACTTTGTGGACACCCTTCACAAAGTGGGTGGGGGAGGGGAGGGAGGGAGGGAGGGTACGCTGGGGCCGCGGTGCAGTGTGGGCTGCTGGAGGACTAGCTGGGAGGACTGGCTGCCCAGTGCTGCCCAGTGGCGGAGCTGAGATTGCGGACAGTGCGATCAGATTCCCACCGATGGATCCCGCGGCCATGTCGAGGGGCAGAAGCGGCGGCGGCCTGAGGGCCCCGAGCGGCGGCTCCAGGGCCTCCCAGACCCCGAGTCCCGCCAACTCCCGGCGCCGGAGGCAACCGCCGCGACCGGCCGACTACAAGCTGCAGGTCATCATCATCGGCAGCCGCGGCGTCGGCAAGACCAGCCTCATGGAGCGCTTCACGGACGACACGTTCAGCGAGGCCTGCAAGTCCACGGTCGGTAAGTCAGGGGGAGCCCCGGGATGGGTGGGTGGGTGTGTGTGTGGGGGGAGGGGGCTGGAGGGTGGGGGGGGGAATGGAGGTTCGGGCCCCTCCCTGTCAGGGTCGGGTGGGTTGTACAACAACCACAACAACAACAACAACCTGCATTTAAATAGTGCCTCTCACGCGGGGGAGGGGGGAGGGGGGGGGTGGGCGACCCGGAGCGCTTGACGGTGGCGGAGTCTGACCCCCGGGCCGGAGGGCGGGGGAGAGGGAGGTGACCGTACGCGCGATCGGAAGGGGGGAGGTCCTCAGGCGGGATTTGAAAGTGGGGAGGGGGGGGGCAAGGCAGAGGGATCGAGGGGGAGGGGTCCCAGAGCTTCAGGGCGTAGTGACTGAAGGTGCGGTCGCTGTCGTGGGCGGGGTTGCCGATGATGTCGCGCTTCTCGCCTTTTACGTCAGAGGGTTGTGGGTACGAGCACCCGCCCCCCCCCCCCCCACACACACTTCGGACCCGAGACCCTCGTCCACTCCTTCGTCACCTCCCACCTCGAACTACTCCAGCGCAATCCTCGCCGGTCTCCCCAGCTCCACAATCCACAAAATCCAGTTAATCGAGAACTCAGCGGCTCGTATCCCCCCCCCCCCCCCCCCCCTCTAAACCCCATCACACCAGTCCTCATGGACTCCACTGACTCCCTATCGCAGAACGGACCAACTTCAAGATCTTCACACTCGTCTACAAATCACTTTATGCCCTGGCACCTCGCTACCACTCTGACCTGCTTACCTCTCCACCACCTGCCCACGGCCTCTGCTCGACTGGCTTGTCCCCCGGCCCCTCCGCTCCACTACCGGCGGCCGTGCTTTCAGCGGTTACGCCCTGAATCTTTGGACCTCTTTCCCTCAATCCCTCCTCCTTGCCCCTTTTTCAAATCGCGCCTTCCTCTTCGACAGTGGTTACGGTCACCTCCTCCCTCCCCTCGGCTCGGCGGCAGACTCCGCCACTGTTAAGTGCTCCAAGACACTATGTAAATTGAAGATGTTGTTGTGCAATTCACAGTTTAGGCTGATACTGCAATGCTGCATTGTCAGAGGTGCCGTCCTTTACATTAGATCATTAGATGTTAAACCGAGGTCCCGTCTGTCTGTTCAGGTGGACATTAAAGATCGCATGGCACTATTTGAAAAGAGAAGGGAGTTTCTCATGGGGCCCAACCCAACAATCCATCAAATAAAAAAATTGGCCATTCACTTTATGACTAATTATAGAGCATTGCTATTTGCAAATTGGCTGCTGCGTATGCCTACAAAATACAGTCACTTGACAGCAACTTTTATAAAATGCTTTCCAATGTTCTTGATGTAGATGCTATATCAGTTGATCTATAATTGACTGTTCTATTTGAGGGGTGGGGCTGTGGAAGGTACCTTGGAGTTGAGCCTGGAATCGAGTCAACCCTCTATGGCGGTCATCATAATCCGAAGTTTGTTCCTGAGACGGGCAGATCTACAGCGCTCCAAGGCTGATAACAAACCAGTCAGCCTGGCTCATTGGTAGAACTTGGAGGTGCAGACCAGTCGTGGGAGTAGGAATTCTTCCCACTGGGAGGACAGGAAAGTCACAAAGTTTGAGAGGTCAGAACTAGTTTGAGTGTAACGTCAGAGATTTTATTATTATTTTAGCAATTAATGATGGGGGTGGGGGTGTAATGTTTTTACTGTGACCTGTAGGTGAAAGTTTGTTTATCTGCAGATGTAAATAAAATAAGACTGATGATTGACAGGACAGCTGACTGTTCGGGAGTTGACCCTCTTCATAATAACGAACAGAAGGAGGAGTGAGTTGCAATGAGTTGGCACGTAAGCTGATAGAGACAGCCGGGTGTTTGAAACAGCTGGGAGAGTTACTGCGCTGTACACTGGGTACCGGAAGCTACGGTGCAGCAACTGTTTATTCCACACAAGTGCTTGTGCATTCATAAGCTAAATGCAGGATAGAAGATTGCTGTGGGATACCACAGCACTAGATTTGTGGGAATCGTTCTTGGCAATGTCAGTTTGAGAATAACACTTTTTTAATATACTTTTTATGTAAATACATCTTAAAACAATACCTTTCTCTCATTGGGTCCTTTTTAAAAAGGGACATTCTGCATGTAGTTTGTGTGTTTTCTTAATTCAAAAAATAAAAACACTTTTTCGTAGAATTGTAGAGCCCATCGTGCCCATGCCGGCTCTTTGACAGAGCTACCCAAATTAATCCCACTCCCCCGCTCGCTCCCCATAGCATTGCAAATTTGTGCTCCCTAAATATTTATCCAATATCTTTGTGGAGTATATTTTCTTAAATTTGGAAGCCACGTACAGTCCTATACATAATAAACAATTTCTGTATTTTATTGTAGATAATAACAACAACAAAATTACACATATATAGCACCTTTCACGTCTGGAGGATGTTCCAAGGCACTGGACAATCCGTATTTCGGACCCGAGCTGGGGGTCGGGATCAGGGAGGGTGGAGGGCAGGGGGAAAGAAGGGTGACCAAAGGCACAGTAGAAGAGGAGCGTCTTGAGATGGGTCTTGAAGGAGCAAGGGAGGCGGCAAAGCAGAAGGACTGCAGGATGGAGTTTCAGAGGGTGGAGGCAGCGTGGCTGAAGGCCCGCCCGCCAATGGTGGGGCGGGCGAGGCCGGGGACGTTAAGCAGGCTGGAGCCCAATGAGCGGAGGGAGCGGGCAGGTTGGTAAGGAGTTAGGAGGTCTCAAAAGTGGGGGGGTGGGAGCAAGTCCATGGAGGACTTTGAAAGTGAGGACCAGTATCTTGAACACTGTGTAATGGGAAGCCAGTGGAGTGGGCCAAGGATGGGGGTGATGGGTTACGGAGCCTGGTGCGGGAGAGGACACAGGCTGCAGAGGGTTGAAATAAAAATAATTCAGATGATCCTCAGAGTTGTACAGAGGAAAGTTGAGGTTGATATCAGCCTGTACATAGCTTCCAAAGTAGAGATAACTGCTGATATCTCCACCCTTGTCATGTTTGGAATTGTGTTTTAAGTGGGTGGTACAGTTGAGTGACACATGGGAGCGAGAAATTTATAACCTTGGTCTGTCTGAGTGAGGGATTTTCTAACCTTGGGTCTGCCTCGCTTGTGGAGATATTATCGCTCGTGGTTGTTGACGGTGTCACTGATATTTGCCAGTGTTTTGGACTGAGTGTCTGGGTTTGGGGCAGCCGTGGGCTGGAGAGGATCAAGTCAAACAAGAAAGCAGAAACCATTGGAGGTGGCTGCAGCTGCAAAGCCGTGACGTTTAAGGGATGTGCCTGGAAAATGAATAGTTGTGTTCTGGGTGTTAACGTTTCTTCAGAGGGATGCAGGAATGTTGGACATAATGTGCACCATTTTGTACTCGGAAATGAATGCTTGACCAGGGTTACAAAAGAGTGGTGCAATAATCAATCATTTGTAGTGACCTGGTGTTGACTGTATTTTCACAAATCGCTCACCTGTCTGGTCCGGTTGTACTCATTTGTCCTGTTGGTATAGTTTCAAATGCTCCGTGGTTTTAGCTGGTTAAACTCTAGCAGTACCCTAGTGCACACTCTGGGGTCCCCCAAGCTTTGACTCTATCCAACCTACGCTTAATAGTTTTTGGAATTGGATAAACAGGATACAACCTCTGAGAAGAGACTGCACATTCTATTTCCATGCTTACACGGCGTGTGTACGTGGAACTCTTGTCTAGTTCAGATACCCTTAACCTTGGTCATGGGTTTCCGCTTGTGTCAAAAAACCTGGCTAACCAAAAAAAAAAGACCTCGTAGTTTCAAACCAATCACCGCGGGGCAGAAAGGTCAAGAGGCTTGAAGGAGACACTGGTGCTGATGGCAGAAGTGCAGTGAAGATGGTCAGTTCAGTACTGAGCTTCACACGCCACTGATGTGCAGTTTTGCTTGTTCCAAAGCTGATCCTGTCTGGGTGAGCTGCCAGCATGACTTGTCTGTACTTTACTGTGTTGGCATTTTCACTAATTGTAATATAATTGTAACGTTTCCAAGGTTAGGGTTAGGTTTTGGGCAAAGCACCCTCCCTGTGAGGGACTTTGTTCTGTTTGCCTTGTACTTTTCCTTTTCGCAGTTTAATTTCCTGCCCGCTTTGTTTTTTTTTGGTTCATTTCTTCTCAGCATTTTTCTTGATTTTTTTTTGTAAATTAGCAAATAAAATCCATTACTTCCATTACCTCTGCAGATTGATGCAAAAAAACAATCCATTCCCAACCAATAAACAGAGAGTGCTTCCCAGAGAGATACTGCTCTCTAAGCTGCAGAGTGATTTGAACTCTTGTTGAAAATAACACAGATGATCTTTGCCAACATTCACATGAAACTGAATCTCAATCAGTGGTGATTCCTGGAGTTATGTGTGGTTGCTCATAACATATCCGGCTCAGTCTGTATAATGGTTCTAATGAGAGCTGTGCTGATTATAATAACCGCTGAGGGAACATGCAGTCGTACATGAAAAATGTTACAAAGAGATGTTAAACCAAGGTCCCGGACATTAATGTTCAACATTCCTCCAGATCACTTGCTCATTCACCTCGTGACTGTGATATTGAGCTGCCATTTTTGCATCTAGAATTGGCTGCCACAATGGACTGTAATTAACAGAGAGCTCTCTGAGATGTTTTATCATGATGAGGCATTATTAAACATAACGCAACTTCTTCATTCTTGCAATATTGTATTGCAACAGCTTAAAATACATAAGTCAGATTTATCAGTGCTTTGTTCACAAAAACAGAGAGTACTACAGGCAAGCAAGCACACAGTATACATGGAAATGATGATACATTTTTCTTAAACTGTTGGGTGGCCAGTCTGTTTTCTCCCTTCCGCTCTGCTGAGCAAGCACCCAGAGATGGGTGTGGTCCCTTTTAAATGGTATGTTTCCCTTTTTTGTTGCTTCTTGTTTTTATTCCACCTTGGTTTTGCTTTTGCTTCTTATTCCTCCTTTTTCTTTTACTGTATTTTGTTTATAGGTGTTGATTTTAAAATCAAAACAGTAGAGCTAAGAGGAAAGAAAATTAGATTACAAATCTGGTAAGTAATGTACACGTTTTCGGCTCTCAGCTTCCACTTAACACTCGCCTGTGTCGTTCGTCACTTCTGACTGATGAAAAGCTCCCTTTGCAATCTAACTCTTGGCACGGACTGATTTTACTCTGCACCTGTGCTACTGTACTGTGTGATAGTATATATTCAGCAGAAAACTAAAGCAGTTTGCAAATAAGTTGAGGTATTGAGCTGCCCAAATCCTGAACTAAGTGGGTTCAGTTTGGAAATCGTTCCACTGATCATTTCTTACCAATTGTGCTCACCATCTCTCCTAAAGGAGTTTGCTTCTACTGGAGTGCAGTTCAGCAGTTTAGTTCTCAAAGATGGTAATTTACTGGGTGTCATTGCAAAATCCAATCCTGGCCTAGCAGGACCTCATATGGATAATATTTAGGGGTCGAAACACTTTCCCCCCAACCTTTCCGCTCCACCTCAAGCACTGGGCTATTGCAGCACCCCAGTTGAGATCAGCCAGCTCAGTGTAGACTGGATACTCAATACACTGGACGCTCAGTATGGCTGGTCTATTCATTGCATAAACTTACAGAGTGATGGATCTCATTTTAATGCATTAGTTTGTATGGACTTTACACTAATTTTAGACATGGTGCAATTTTTTTCAAAATTTGTATGCATTTTTTATGGTGTTCCCTCCCACCCCCCACCAGATTGAGAGTGCATTTTAATCACAAATTAAAAGGAAGAAGAAAATGTAGGGTATGTTTTCTTGATTACACATCTGTTAGGAGAGATTCCATACATGTACATATATGCATTTGAATGCCACTTGTACCCAAATATGGTATGTGTTCATTCTGTGATCCTGATATGTAATTTCCTAACTTCCACTTGATGTATTTAAAAGGAAGAATTTTCATACCAATTGACCCCCAAAAATTGGTTACTCAATCCACAACTGTTTGATGGACACTGCTGTGCACAATTGCTGCCACATTTTGCCCACAACATACAAAGTCAGTCCACTTTACAGTAAGTTAAGTGCTTTGAGACGTCTCAACGACGTGATAAGGTGCTATGTCAACTGCAAAGATTATTATCATTATACCACAGGAGAGGGGGTATGTACATTGTTCAACTCAGCAGAGCATAAACCACCAGTGCCAATGCTTATTGCATCCGTGAGCTTTTCTGGGCCTTATTTTAAAACGATTTACTTTTAACAGCCTGTATGTAGTGCTGCTGCTGTGTATACTAATATATGTGGCACATAGGATTCTAGTATTTCTTGCTATTAGCTGTCTGTACTTGGTGTGATAGAGTTGTGAAACACATGGTCTTGTTTTCATACACCAGAGTGTATACAGTTATAAGAACCTGACTAACAATTTCCTCCCCTCCTTTCCTCCACACTTCCCAGCAGGGATATTGGCTTCAGTTTGCTGCACCAAATTAGGATTCCTTACTCATCCATAGTCTCCAGTTAACGATAGTCTAATCTCTAACTGTCTTGTGTATTCTCATCCCTCATCTGTGTGACTCTTAAGATATGGCTGCAAGAGGCTGGCAAATAATAGCACTGTACCTGCAGGAGCTGATTAAGGTAACAATGTACTTCTGCATTCCAGCTGTGTTGCATGTTAAGTGATCACTAATGTTAACCCTTTCCTCCCGCAGAGGACCAAATAAAGTTACTCGACACGGCAGATGGTGGTGTTTTTACCTGCCTGATTCAAGCTGATAATTGCAGATATGTTAGTCCTTTCTGTTGTTGCTGGGTGTTGTGTTGTCCAAAGGAAGTTTCTAATATTCTCCGGCAACATTTAGCCAAGATTATTTTACTATCAAACGTGGGGTGGGGTGGGGAAGGGAGGGTTTTTCTGCAGCGATATCTGGGCTGGTATTGGATTGATGACAGGGCCACCGAATCCCACTTGAGGGAGGGAAGGTGGAGAATAAACCTGGATAAGAAGGGTTGAACTTTGCGGGCGTAGTTCAGACAGTAGTCTTGTAGTCCCAGCTCAGTGTGTCACTGGTGAAGTGAGCTTTTGTACCTAATTGTTCCTCAGGGATACTGCAGGGCAGGAGAGATTCAACAGCATTACTTCAGCTTACTACAGGAGTGCCAAGGGAATCGTCCTGGTCTACGATATCACCAAACAAGAAACATTTGAAGATGTCCCCAAGTGGATGAAAATGATCGACAAGGCAAGTTTCCATTTAAGTCCCCTAGTGGAGTCCTGTAGCATAGTAGATTGCACCCTCGCCTTGCAAGCGAGACGACCGGGTTCGATTCCCTGGCAGGGCAAAACCTTAGGCAAATTTCCTTACTCCACACGTCTGTTTACCTAGCAGTCAGTAGGAGCCCGTTTGATAGTTGATTGGCGGGGGTAATAATCCCTTCAAAAAAAATAATTTGGTGACTCAATCCGCGATTGTTTGTGGGACACAGTTGTGCACAATTGGCTGCCAAATTTCGCCCACAAAAATAGTCAATCCACTTTATAATATATTCTGTGAAGCACTTTGAGATGTGTCAACAATGCGATAAGGCGCTCTATCAAATGCAAGGATTATTATTATTAGGTCAACACTGTTGATTCCTCTTTGAAAATATTGAGGACAATTTTGGGGTATTGCTTAACAGATTTCTTATTTAAGCCTGAGTGGTGTGTGACTTCAGATTCCCACTCAGATGTTTTAATTTAATTCACTTCTTTATTACTACCATAAATTGATCCTGTAATTTTTTCAAGGTGCCTGATTAAAAAGCCTTTCGACATTGTAAAAAAGATTTATAGGGCCGATGTGTTTTATTGTGTGAATAGAGTAAAAAAAAAACTAGGTCACGGATTTATCGCCAGTCAAAATAGCACTGACCCAAGACAGAAAATGTTCCTTGTGTCTGGGGGCTTAACACTGTAGAATCCAGCGCTTAGGATACGCCATCAAGCAGTTCTGTCTGACCTACAGAGGTCACTTCTACACTGCTTTATAAATGCAGGTTGCTGTTGTAAATAACCTTGCCTTTGTCCCCTATTAAATGTCTTCCTTTGGGTTGTTTTCTGATGTGCAGTATGCGTCAGAAGATGCAGAGCTTCTGTTAGTGGGAAATAAACTGGACTGTGAAACCGACCGAGCTGTCTCTCGTCAGAAAGGGGAAAAGGTGAGAGCTGGCCCTATAGTACATTTCACACCTTAGCCTCATGGCGGTCCAGGGTCAGTCAGTGCAGGAATTCTTCTGGGATTGTTAGCAGGAATTTTAAGGGAATGTTTAGAAGGAATGTCTTCACACTTGGCCTCCGCCTGCGACTGTAGTCCCATACTTGATCACACAATGAAGTCTTGCAGGTGCAGGATCTCGTAGAGCAAAGTCACACGTAACTTGTCAAACTCCTTAGAACTCCTTCAATGAAACAGTTACATTCTGATTCCCACAACAAGCATTCTTGATTTTGACCTCCACCTCGAAATTTGGATTTATCTTTGTAAAATACATTAGAATACATTAGCATATACAGCACAGAAACAGGCCATTCTGCCCAACTGGTCAGTGTTTATACTCCACATGAGCCTTCTGCCCTTCCTCAACTAAGCCTTCAAGCATAACCTTCTATTTCTTTCTCCCTCATGTACTTATCCCTAGCTTCCCCTTAATTACATCTATGCTACTTGCCTCAACAACGCCTTGTGGTAGCATGTTCCACATTCCCACTACTCTCTGTATGAAGAAATTTCTTCTAACTCCCCTATTTGATTCATTTGTGACTATTTTATATTGATGGCCCCTGGTTTTGGTCTCCCTCACAAGTGGAAACACCCCTCAGTATGTCTACCCTATCAAATCATTTCATAATTTTAAAGACCTCTATCAGGTCACCCCTTACCCTCTTTTCAAGAGAAAAAGAGTCCAAGCATGTTCAGCCTGTTCATACAATTAAAACTATCAAACATTTTGCTCCCTCCCTTGATGGTTGAATTGGTAAAGCTAGTAAAAATTCTGCTATTTAGGTGTCAGCCTGGCGCAGTTGGTAGTACTCTCACCTCTGGCTCAGAAGATTGTGGGTTCAGGCATCACATTCGGTTTTTGAGCTCACAGCCTAGGCTGACACTCAGTGCAGTGCTGGGGAGTGCTGCAGTGTCAGAGGTGCCATCTTTCGAATGAAATGTTAAGCTAAGGTCCCTTCTGCCTGTTCAAGTGGATGTTAAAGATCCCATGGCATTATTAAAAAGAGAAAGGAGTTTCTCCCAGTGTCCTGGCCAATAATCCTCAGATAAAATTGATCATTTTGTCTTCAAATTGGCATAGGAATTTACAGAAACTTTTAAGTTCTCTCAATCTTATAGGTTATTGCAATATTTATTTTATAAGTTGAGTGTAGATAAGTTCATTCTGCCTCTTCTGTTTTCTCTTCCTCTTTGTTGTATTTTGTTCTTTTTTAAAAAAAAGCAAACTGCTGCAGGTACAGTATTCTGTTTTCACTAAACAATATATTTTAATCTTTTATTCAGTTTGCTATGCAGATAGCTGGCATGCGTTTCTGTGAAGCCAGTGCGAAGGACAACTATAACGTGAATGAGATATTTTTGAAGCTTGTGGATGACATCTTAAATAAGGTGTGGTCTTGTATATCATCAATACTGTTATTCAAACGCCATCACGCATGATATTTTGCAGCACACCATGATATAGATTTGCTCCATCTGCCGATAGGTTCAAGATATTGTCATTGCACTTTGGCAGTAGTCTGTATACGCGAGTATCTTCAAACTATTTCTCTTCCCTATGTGAGGAAATCAGAAATTCTTCGAGATCCAGTGTCGAGGGTCTCCTGTTTACTTAAAGGATAAGTTATTAGTTTAGAAGTAGATGTTTTTGAGATTTATGTGTTTGTGAGTTGAATGTCATGTGATATTTGGAGAGATGTCAATTAAGTATCAGTTATGACCATGGTCACTGTCTTGCAGTACAATGGTCTGATAAGATTCAAGGTTAGAACTTGCTCCACTGAGAGTTTGGATTTATTGGTTTGATGATGAATCAGGTGACCTGGTCAACTATTAAAACATTTGTTGCCTGGCTTCATTAGGTACCTCTCAGAGCCAGGTCAACTGCAGGGAGACGCTGTTTATCTCAAAAGGATGAAAGACTAATGAACCATGCAAGTGTATAGGACATGGCAATTTAGCGATAATGGCATTGGACCAGCAAACCTGGGTTTGAACTTGATATGAAAGCGGTATAATTTACATTCACTAGAGGGCTCACATTTCGTACAAGAGAGCAGTCTATGATATCAGCTCCACCCAAAGTGGAAAAATCAGAACTTTGAAATCTGAGCTTGGTTGCCCTCAAGACTAACTTGGATCTTCTCGTTCATTGATTATTATTGCCTAGTTATGCAAATGCTTCAATGGGATTCATGGCCAATGTTACTTAGTTTTTTTGAGAAAGACCTGCTCAAGCCTGGTCGCTCTCCCTGTTGGGATATTCCACTTGTATCGCTGCCTGGTTTGAACCACGGGATTCCAGGCAACTCAGCTCCCTGCTGGGAGTGGCTATCTTATAGGATCTCAATCGACCTTCCAGCAATTCATTGATACCACAGCAACGGTCAAGCATTGAGGAAGATACGATTCTAGGGTCTATGCTGGTTTTTACAAAGGCCTCCAGCATAATTCTGCTCAGACTAATATTTTTGTTACAAATTTGTCAGCAGGAGTACTTTGAGCAATTCAAACCATTACGAGTCCAGGGGACCGGGTTTGACCCACTGAGCTAGTTGGCACTGCAGTTTTGTGTTTGAATTGTGCTTTGAGTCTTTGGAATGTAGAGTCCTATAGCATATCGGTTGGAGCACTCACCTCTCAAGCTGGAGGACCTGGTTTTGATTCCCGGGCAGGATGAAGCGTTAGGCAAGTTTTCTTTGGTCAGTCAATCCACAACTGTTTGTGGGGCTGCCGTGTTTCGCCCACAAAATATACGGTCAATTCACTTTACAGTACATTCTGCGAAGCGCTTTAAAACGTTTATATATATACATGTACATATATTATATATATACATGTATATATATTAGTTATATATTTGATATAAGCTGCTATATCAAATGCAAGGATTATTATTATTGGAACAGATATAGTTGCAATCAAAGTTGTGTTTGATTTTGAAACTGCGCTAAAGAATTTCTTGTTTCTTTCCCCTTGTGTGTGTGTGTGTGTGTGTGTGTGTGTGTGCGTCCTTTCTTCCCCCACATGTTTCACAGATGCCGGATATCCACAGACACGAACTATCAAACAGTATCCTGTCCTTGCAGCCGGAGCCTGAGATCCCACCAGAGCTCCCGCCTCCTCGACCCAACCTGCGCTGTTGCTGACCAGCCAGCGTGCTGCGCTGGCCTGTGTGGGGGTTTGTACACTGCTGCACTACAATCAGCCGACCGTCGGCGTTGCACTTTGTAGAAACGATCAAACAAAGGAGTTCAGACCAGCTTTGTATACGTGTGAGATTTTAAAATGGTTTCCGACCGAATCACCAACCGTTGCTCGGGAATAACTGCACACGTTTTATTTTTAAATATCCTTTTCTGATCTCCATCTCTGAACTCTCTCTTTGGTAGCAAAGTGGTATTTTCTACTCCAGTACTGTATTTATTGTTAACTCGCAGTACCGTTTGGTGGTGTGGATCTCATAACTTTTTAAAGGGAAAAGAATCGAACAAGAAATCTCAGTGCTCACTGGCAGGTAAATAGGCCAACTGGGGTTTGGGAGGGAGGGAGAGGGGTGCGGGGACGTGGGGCGTCTGAAAATTAGTGCAGCAATGCGATTGTCAGGAATGTCATCGAGCAGATATCTTGGGCATTGTTTTCCACAAATGGGTAAATATGGGTTTGTACGATTTTATTTTCCCCCTTCCCCTCACCCCCAGTATAATGGTGCATTATTTTGAAGTCCCAGTGATTATCTCAACCTTGTTACTCAGCCTAAATTGTGCGAGTATAGGATTAGCTACAAACTGAGGGGAAAACTGAGACGTCTGAAAAGTCCAACTAGTGTAAGAATACACTCTCGATGTTTTTGTTTTATTCCTCCGAAGGATTTGGCCGTGAGGGTTAGAAACTTTGAGTAATGGGGCATTGTTGCGGCTAATGTAACGGGACTGGGCTCTTTCTTCCTCGCTTGTTTTTGAATGCTAGCTTGTTCGTGAAGCTCTTCGGTGATAATTCCGCACACCTTGGAAAGCTCCCGGGAAAATGAGGGCAGTCTCAAAACGTCCATCAGCTGGGTTTAGTCCCAAGCCCTCGCACGTATGTTGCTGTGGCTGCTGAAGTTGCTCATCCTTTGCATTTTGGTCAGGAGGGAGCAGGAGGAATATAACCATGGAATTTTGAGAACTGAAAGACAACACTGAATGTCCAGCATCAGTTGGGAATATGTATGGGTCAGAGCTGTCAGAGGAGCCCTAATACGCAGGATTCAGAGCACACAAACTTAAGCTGCATTAATTGTCCATACATCGTGCTGGTAAGCATCTTTATCAGCCACCCAGTATAGAAAGGGTAAATTTCAATGCAACTTTTTTTTTAACGACAGTACTTTAAAATGATAACGCTGTTAGAGGAAAAAACAAATCCCATTTCTGCTTCAGTAATTTTTGAAAATGGAATGCATTTTTTTTGGAGGTGCGGAGAAGGAAATGGATTAAGATGCATTTCAAGTGGTATTTTATCAATGGTGCCTTGTAAGATAGATAAAACAGTTGTTACGATGGGGCTACAGCCGTTACAGATCACGTTGTGATGGGAACGTGCGGTGGGCATTTGGACAGTGAGCTGCTCTCACTTGGAGCACTGGGTTGAGTTTCAGATGCGGGTTGATTTACAGCAATGATGACTCCACCACAACCCTGTCAGCCTTGTCCCAGAACCTGAGCAGAGAGGAATATACGGATACTGTAGAAATCTATGAAATAAGAGTATCTGATCACGTGTTTATATTAATGATAAAGGAAGTAATTTTGATAAGTTAAAAGAACATTGTGTGTTCGGAAACCCTCACGATGGGCCATACATTCAGTGTGTCTCTGGACAACTTTTTTTATTTCAGACAGTGAGGGAAGGCATTGTGTGTATAGAGTGAAGAGCTTTAGATCGCAAAACCCATTAATGCATGTGACGTTATTTAAAACGTGGGGTGGGTCACTGCCAGTGTAACTGAATTTTTTTGGGGTAGTTTTAAATGTTAAGCATATTATGTAAAGAGAAGTGTATTAAAAGTATACATAAACTATATATCCATAATCACTGGGCTGTGCTTTTTGATCGAAAGTTTTAAAATGTAATGTTATAAATGATTCAATACAGATAAATATTTACTCCTGACCAGGTGGAAAGCTCCCTGACTGACGAGAGTATTTTTTGACATAGTAATTTTTCAAAAAAATAAATAAATAAATGTCAGTATCTGTCAAAACTGACAACCGAATGGATGGAGAAATGAGATTCAAAGATATGCCAGAGTGTAATAAAATAGCATCTTCCTGTTCCCATGTTACAAAATATACACAAGAGTCAAGAATTTCATTACCATTCGACGGTATTTATTGATTCAATCATTGCATTGTAAGAGGAATGACTTGTTCTGTGCAGGGGGTGGGGGGGGCGGTGTGCAAAATGAAGAGGAATCACCCACACAAACTGATGGGGAGAGTTCGCTAACAAAGGGAGAGTGTAGTTCACATGGGGTCTGCACGTACATGGTCAGAGGCCGGAGGAAAGTTTTGAAGGAATTGAGGCTCGGAACAAGACACCAATGTTCCGTATAAGGCTCTGATTTAAAAGGAAAACCCAAGAGGGCAAAACAATCAGGAAGCCCTCCCTTGTGGGAGCTGAAAGGATAGCTCAGTTCCATCGGCATTGAGCAATATATGGCTCGTCGAGGACTTGATGTCTGTCAGAAGAGCATTTGTCTTGGAGTGGAGTGCAAAGGCAGAAAGGTAGGTTAAATGTAACCTTGGGGAAGTGGACCCTATGCCTCAGCAATGATATAATAATAATAATCCTTGCATTTGATATAACGCCTTATCACGTCTTTGAGACGTCTCAAAGTGCTTCACAGAATATACTGTAAAGTAAATTGCCTGTATATTTTGTGGGAGATAATAATAATAATAATAATCCTTGCATTTGATATAGCGCTTTTCACGTTGGGAGGACGTCCCAAAGCGCTTCACAGAATAGACTGTAAAGTGAATTGACTGTATATTTGTGGGCGAACGCGGCAGCCAATTGCGCACAGCAATGTCCCACAAACAGTCGTAGATTGAAAATGACCAATTTTTATTATTGTTTTTGTTTTTTTGGAGGGATTATTATTAGGCGTGTGGAGTAAGGAAACTTGCCCAAGGTTTCGCCCTGCCTGGAATTGAACTCAGGTCTCTCACTTGCAAAGCGAGTGCTCTAACCACTGAGCTACAGGACTCCACACCAAAGAGATGTCACCAAAGCAGAACATGTGGATAATGAAAAGGAGAGGGCTGAGGGTAGAGCCCTGCGGAATTTAGTACGTGAGCACGTGCCGATAAGAAACAAGTGGAAAATGTGGCTTGTGATGAGTTACAAACTAGGAACTCATGATGAAATGCCCCAAACTTTACCGCTAGGATTCCTTGGGACGTTCTCCCAACGTGAAAGGCGCTACACAAATGTAATCTCGTGGTGGTTGTAGGATTCAAACCAAAATATGAATTGCTTGCACAGACAAGGAAATGTTACCATTGAGCTGGAAAGACAGCATGGCCTCAGGGTGGCACTATGGGACCTATAACACATCTCTGCTGATTGACTGACGGGCAGCAGAAACCGTTTGGAAAATGTGACTTGCGATCATCACACAAGACACAAAAAAATACAGAGGGAATCCATAGTTATCTCTGGCTGTGGGGTTAACAGCCCCAATCCACACGCGCACACAACTTCGGGACAATGATTGGGTCCTTTGCTGACTCCCTGGAACATCTCCGATCTCCCCAGTCCACCACCCAACGCCTTCACTCGACTGACACTGGCCTGCTATCCCCTCACGCCCTCCACTCCACCAATAGAGGTTACACATTCAGCCACCACGCCCCAAAACTCCGGAACACTCCCTCAATCCCTCCACCTTGTCTCCTCGCCCCTTTTTCAAGTCCCGCCTGAAAACCTTTCAACCATGCTCACGGTCACCTGAGCAACCACTCCCCACGCCCCAGGAGTCAGGCTCCATCACTGTTGATGCTACCCTGCATGGATGGCGTTATATGAGTGCAAGTTGTTGTTGATGTGTTCTAACAAGGGCAACTCTGTGCACACTGTATATCTGGCTCAGTTGGAAATGCCCAACTCTTGAGTCGGAAGGTTGTGGGTTCAAGTTCCACACAGTTTAGGCTGACGCCAAACCTACAAAAAATGCTGAAGGGAAACTACAATTGCCAAAGAAACCCAGAAGAGGGCAATGTCATTCACATTGGAATCAGAGCTGCAGGGTTTCAGCTGAGGGAGGGAGCAGCAGGTGAGATATTTGGAAGTGATTTTTAATCTAGTCGATATTGTATTTATGGTTGGTGGAGCAATAATTAATTTTATAATGTGATCCTCAAGATATGCAGTGAAATTGAACATGTTTCCAAAAAGCACCTTAAGTGTCATTCGATTCTGGGTATGCTTCCACCACAACCGCACTCGAAAGGCAAATTACAAACCAATTATCCCCATTAGGTTTTGTTTCATCATTAATTTTGTTTCTTCCTCCTCTGCCCAAACCCACAACGAGGAGATTACATTGCTGTGCGCAATTGGCTGCCGCGTTCACCCACAAATATACAGTCAATTCACTTTACAGTGTGTTCTGTGAAGCGCTTTGGGATGTCCTCCCGACGTGAAAAGCACTATATCAAATGCAAGGGTTATTATTATTATTGTTCTTGCATTTGATCGAGCGCCTTATAATATCAGAAAGTGCTTTACAGGGAATTTCTGGCAAATGTAGTGACTGCATATTTGTTAACAGCAAACAACAAATTTACAGTATATCTTGTGAAGTGGTGACATCCTCTTGATGTGAAAGGTGCTATACCAAATCCATTATTATAATAATATTGTAACTGCTGGTCAGTACTGGATTATCTAATTTCAGCCAGTGACAAAAGTCCTTGATCACCATTCAGTACCGTGCATAGATGTCAGAGTCCTGTTATCTCCTGGTTTTAGCCTCAAGACCCTTTGTATTAAAGCTTAAAGTTATGCTGAAATTTAGAAATCCTTAAATTTGGTCTTTATTTGGGAGGTGTATTTTTACACAAAGAAAATAAACACTGAATTCCAGAATTTTACAAAAATTCTGCATGATCTACCCACAGTCGATCCACTTTACAATATATTCTGTAAAGCACTTTGAGACGTCTCAACAGAATGATAAGGTGCTACATCCAATGTAAGGATCATTATACACTATATCGTTAATATTATTAATTGATGGAATTTCTAAATGCAAGTTGTTGTATTATATCTGCAAAATTATCGCTAACTGCAAAAGCAAATAAATATCAGGAGTGCAGGATCAGGCTCCCATTCAACTAACCTCAAGCAATCTGATTCTACATTATGTGAAGGGCACTATATAAATGCAAATTGTTATTGTTTCACGCAGTGACAAATAGCCACTGGTGCAAGGTGCCAGATGCGAGTAAACACCAACTTTACTCCAACATCATCTTGGAAGCTAAACACAACCCTAAAATCCTTTTTTCCACCACCCACTACCTCCTCCATGCCCCCCTTCAGGCCTCCTCAATCTTCATATCAAATGCCAATTGCGAGGAGGTCATGGACTTCTTTTGATCTGAAATACATAACATCCGCCAGGCAGCCTCATCCATCAGCTTCTTGTCACCCAACACCATGCTCTCTCTGTCCCCCTCACCCTCCCCATCACCTGCTCCTACCACCACCGCCATCCTACATTCCTTCCTCCCCATCTCTCCCTCTCACCTACCATCACCTCCATGAAAGCCACCACCTGCTGCCTCGACCCACTCCCACCAACTTACTGTCACCCAGCTCCCCCTCCTCTGCCCACTACTGGCTGACGTCATCAACCAGTCTCACTCCTCTGGATCAGTCCCTGCCTCCCTCAAAACTGCTGCCATCACCCCCCTCCTGAAAAAACCCTCCCTAGATCCCTCAAACCCCAGCCACTATCATCCTATATCTAACCTACCCTTCCTCGCAAAAGTCCTAGAACGCGTTGTTGTCAATCAACTTCCCCACACCTCTCCTCCCACTCCCTCTTCGAACCCCTCCAGTCCGGTACAGAGACTGCGGTTGTGAAAGTCACAAACGACATCCTCTCTATCTGTGACCAGGGCTCCCTCTGCCTCCTTGTCCTCCTGGACTCTCCGCGGTGTTCGACACAGTCGATCAGGCCAATCTCCTCCACCGCCTTTCCTCCGTCATCCACCTCAGTGGGTCCGCACTCGCCTGGTTCGAGTCCTACCTCACAAACTGCCAGCAGTACATCTGCACAAACGGCTTCTCCTCCCGCTCTCACCCGGTCACCTGCGGGTACCCCAAGGATCCATCCTTGGCCCCCTCCTCTTTCTGATCTACATGCTCCCTCTTGGGGATGTCATCCGCAAACATGAGGTACATTTCCACACGTACGCGGATGACACCCAACTCTATTTTCCCACCTCTCTTTGCGACCCCCAGTCCCCTGATGTTCTGTCAACCTGCCTGTCAGACCTCAGGGGCTGGATGAGCGCAAATTTCCTTCAGCTGAACGTTGACAAAACGGACGCCATACTCTTTGGCTCTCATCAACGTCTAATTTCTCTCAGCTCTCACCTCCTCCACCTACCCGACCTCCCCTTAAAACTCTCCGAATCCGTACGCATCCTAGGCATCAAGTTCCTCCCCCACATCTGGTCTCTCACCAGCACTGCTTTCTTCCACCTCCAACGCATCGCCCCTCACTGCCAATACCTCTCTCTGAAAGCCACTGATACCCTGGTCCATGCGTTTGTCACCTCTCGGCTGGAGAACTTTAACGCCCTCCTCGCCGGTCTCCTCTCCACTACCATCCATAAAATCCAGATTATGCAAAACTCTGCCGCCCACATTCTCACCCACACCAAACTCCGCTCTCCGATTACCCCAGTCCTTGCCAGACTGCACTGGCTGCCTGTCCCAGAGAGGATCGACTTCAAGATCCTCAACCTTGTCTTCAAATCCCTCCACTCCTCTGCACCCCCCTACCTCTCTGACCTCTCTCCTCCAAACAATGCCTGTTGCCTTCATTCCTCCGGGTCTGGCCTCCTCCTTGTCCCCCGAGTCCTCTGCTCCACCCTCGGCGGTCGTGCCTTCAGCTACTACACCCCGAGGCTCTTGAACTCCCTTCCTCACTCCCTTCGCCTCGCTCCCTCCTTTCCCATTTTCAGGTCTCTGCTTTCTTTTCGACCGCATCTTTGGTCACCTTCCTCCCCCTCCCCCTGGCTCGGCCCCAGGATCCGTTACTGTAAAGCGCTCTGAGACACCATCCGGTGCGG